TGTCAGTGAGTGAGATCTCTCAGAATGGCTCCTCGGTTTTCTGAATGAATGAATAACCACTCTCTAATGGAAATCTCGCTTATTGATTTGCGAAGGAAACATTTTTATTAAAACCATAAATGTGCCTAACAACCCAACCATGTGTACCTTAATAACCTCACACATATCAGATCTGATGAGCCACTTTCTCAGTGGATGTCACTTAAATTACAAAGCAGAATAAAAACAGCAAAAGGTCACCAAAATGCTTTAAAAGTTCAGCCAAACTAATTAAAAAACAACAGTAAACAAAATAAAATAACATAATAAATTAATAAAATGAGTAAAATTACACAAAAGCAATGGAACTATCAGCTCTATTTGGGTCTCTGCTTGAATCAAATGCCACAGAGAAAAGATTTCATGTAAGCTTTAAAGTAGATGTTGTGGGGATGTGTTGGCTGATGCAGATCTGCAGCATCACGCGGACATTGAGGGCAGCTCCACTGGATTAGCAGACCGGGTTGGTGGGGATCGCAGGATGTGTTCCAGCTACAGGGGGATCGCTGTTCTGAGCCTTCCTGGTAAGTTTAACTCAGAGGTTCTGGAGAGGAGGGTCCGTCTGATTGTCAAACTTCAGATTCAGGAAGAGCAATGTGGTTTTTGTCCTGGCCGTGTAACACTCGACCAGCTCTATACCCTTAGGGGGGTCCTGGAGGGTGCATGGGAGTCCAACTAGTTTACGTGTGTTTTGTGAATTTGGAGAAGGCGCCTTCAGGAGGCCCTGTGGTGGTGTTATCGGGAGTATGGGGTACCAGGCTCCCTGACATGAGCTGTTAGGTCCCTGTATGACCAGTGTCAGAGCTTGGTCCGCATTACCAGCAGTAAGTCGGGCTCGTTCCCAGTGAGGGTTGGACTCCACCAAGGCTGCCCTTTGTCACAGATTCTGTTCATAACTTTAATGGACAGGATTTCTAGGCACAGCCAAGGTGTAGAGGACATCCATTTTGGTGGCCTTAAGATTGGGTCTCTGCTTTTTTCAGACAGTGTGGTCCTGTTGGCTTCATCAGAACGTGATCTCCGGCTCTCACTAGAGCGGTTCACAGCCGAGTGTGAAGCAGCTGGGATGAGAATCAGCTCCTCTAAATCTGAGACCATGGTCTTGAGTCGGAAAAGGGTAGAATGCCTTCTCCAGGTTAGGGATGACGTCCTGCCTCAAATGTAGAAGCGTAAGTATCTTGGGGTCTTGTTCACGAGTGAGGGAAAGATGGAGCATGAGATAGATAGGCAGATTGGTGCTATGTCTGCAGTGATGCGGTCGTTTTACCGATCTGTCGTGGTGAAGAGAGAGCTGAGCAAGAAGGCAAAGCTCTCAATTCACCAGTTGATCTACATTCCTACCATCACCTATGGTCACGAGCTCTAGGTAGTGACCAAAAGAACGAGATCGCGGATACAAGCAGCTAAAGGGGGTTTTCTCCACAAGGTGTCTGGGCTCTCCCGATAGGGTGAGAAGCTTGGTCATCCGGGAGGGGCTTAGGAGTAGACCTGCTGAGGAGGAACCAGCTTAGGTGGCTAAGGCATCTGATTTGGATGCCTCCTGGATGCCTCCCTGGTGAGGTTTTCTGGGCACATTCAACCGGGACGAGACCTAAAGGAAGACCCAGGACATGCTGGAGGGAATATGTCTCTCAGTTGGCCAGGGAACACCTTGGTATTCCTCTGGAGGAGCTGGTCCAAGTGGCTGGGATGAGGGAAGTCTGGGTCTCTCTGGATGGGCTGCTGCCCCCGCGACCCGACCCCGGAAAAGCGGACGAAAATGGATGGATGGAAGAATTGGTGGAAGAATGGATTTCAAACACTCCTATCAGGTAAAAGTAACTAGTTCTAAATATCAGGAGTGGTTATTGCAGTCACCTATCACCTTTACATTTAAGTTTAGGTTTTTAGTTTCCAAAAGCTCCACCTCCCTAACTGGTTTAGCACATCCCATAAAAACATGCTGAAATAAATCATTTATTGGTAATGGAGCCTGAATGTACAGAGCAAAGAGGATACAGTTTCCATATGATGTGCAGCACAACCAAATTACAATTACAATTTTTGTTAAACTCCATTAGTTTGTGCTTGAGAAATAATTTGGTAATTTTGCAGCAGAAGGATTGTGAACAGTTTTTTTTTCTTTTGTTACAGAAATTGTTGAACTATTATCTAAATCTATGTTGTCCCTGCTTGCATGGGTCCATCCATGCTGCCCTTCATCTGCCTTCATATGTTTAACACTAAAATATCAAAGGAAAGTGTCAATAAACACTCGTGTGTGTGTGTGTGTGTGTGTGTGTGTGTGTGTGTGTGTGTGTGTGTGTGTGTGTGTGTGTGTGTGTGTGTGTGTGTGTGTGTGTGTGTGTGTGTGTGTGTGTGTGTGTGTGTGTGTGTGTGTGTGTGTGTGTGTGTGTAACTGGTTTGTTTACTGGTCACTGATAAAGGCTGGTAATGGAATGGTTTATATATGTAGCATTCTCATGCAGATAGTGCGTTGCTACATCAGCTTACAAGTAACTGCTAAAAGCGTTAGCTGGAAAGCCAACTTGCCTTCACTAATGGAATGCTAAATTAAAGACAGTTTTTTATGTGTGATGTTGTTAGATCCAAAATCAAATTAACCAAATCTTCCCTCTAACTGCTCTTTTAACAGTTCTGTGATTCAGTTTGGATGTCATTATAAATCATCAGTTGTGTCTCTTTGCTGTTGGTGGATGTAAGCATCTTCTGATGTCTATCCCTAACTTGGAAAAGATGTCTGTAACTGCCTCTTTTGTGTTCTTATTTACATATCTCTACATACGCTGCTAGATTTAAGTCACACACATGATGAGAGTTTCCGGCATGAGTCAGCCACCTTGGCTCACCTCGGACATCTGCAGTGTCCTCCGCTCTTCTCTGAACAACCTAAACAAGGCAATTTGCTGACTTTTCTCACCACTTTTTCATTCTGGTGTGGAGACTTCCACAACGGTTGCCAACTGTAGTGACAGCCCTCTTTGCGCTGCTATGTTGCCCAGACCATCAATTACAGGGCCACACTAAATGCCCATGACTCACACGCTGGGACAGAGGGTGTCACGCTCAAAAGATGAGCAATGACAAGCCCAGCAGCTGCTCCCTTTCCTCCAAAAAGAGTTCCACTGCATAACAAGCTAATTTATGAAATGTATAAATGTCACAAGCATTGTTTGTCCCTGGAGTTGCCAGAGTAAATGCCTAAACACAAGTGGGTCTGTTCATGCTGAGAAGCTTTATTGAGCTCAAACCATCCAGCTCATCTGTTAAACCACCTCTACCTCTTACTGTTTTTATCTTTAAGAACGATTCTGGCTAATTCCTGGAACAATGAGTGGTCTTATTTCTGTTTCCTATTTAAAATCCTACATTTGTAATCATCGTTGTCTGCATGAGTTTCTCAGTACGTTTGAAGCAACTCGCTGAGATACTTTCCTGGTCGCTCTAAACCATGGCTTGAAACAAAATCCTGAATCACAGCTGCTGTCAGAGCTGAAGACATTACAGGTTTTTACAACTTTTATGCAACATTTGGGTTTCTGAACACCTCCTAAATGATTCATTGTGATAGATTTGAGTAGAACATTGACTGATTTGTCCACAGCACTTTGGTTTTGTCCCACAGATTCATGTGTCCAGCTTTGCTGTGATAGAAAACAGAACAAAACAACAATAGGGACACTCCTAGATGGAGCAAACAAATCAGAAAGGGTAAAGCGCCATGAGCACAGAGAGTTTCAGGCTAAACGACCTCAGACTGAAAGGGTTGTAATTGGTCTATGTTCTAAAGAATATTTGATAGAATGAATAATTTGTTCATTAAACATATTCTAGAATATAAAAGGAAGTTGGAAACATGTGACTGGATGATTATCTTAAAACTAGTATGAGTTTTCAGCTGGCCAAACAATGCGGGGGGTATGTCAGCAGATGGAAGCTTTGCAGAGCTGTCCATGGTGCTGAAACAGCTCCCATTTAGCTTTCAATCCTCTCTGATGTTGGGCAAGTTTCAAAGTCTTAAATAACTTAAATATGTGTTCTGGTCAGGTTTTCGACTTCTCCTGGAGGGTAAAGGATAGCAGCATTACAATTATGTAATGTTCAAACATTAGTACATATTGTACACTTGTCATGTCAAAAGTCGGTTTCCGGTGTGCTCACACAAAAAAAGTCCATTATTTTCTTCCTTTCTGCATGGATCAGTGTGGAAACACAGTGCCCACTGCTGGAGAACATCATACATTCATTCGCAAATAATGAAGGTCACACTTTTAAAATGAAACAAAATCAAACAGGATCAGGGAAAGCTAAATACTCAGAGAAAGTTAGTTGTGGGGTTCTGATATAAAATATAGAACCTGGATTAACAAGAGATTTACTGATTTGTTCTTCTTCAACTTGAGTCCAGATCACGTTTTTATTTTGAATTTTCTGATTAAAAAACTGAATGTGCAAATGATTTTATTCCATTAGTTTGTAATTTTTGTAAAATTCAAGGAGGATGCAGGCGTCTCCTAACCACACTGAGATCATATCAGTGCTCTGAATTATAATATGAAGAGATTAAACTTCCCTCATTCTGAATCTGGATATTTAAGAAAAAACAAGGTGTTCTGGGTGGTTGGAGCAGCTCAGCCAAGCCCCAGCTGGATGCTGAGGCTGCTCTGCATGAGGACATAATGGGATACTGCAGCACAAAAGAACTGTGTGCACAGAAACTTGCCTAGAAGCATCGGGGAGTCCCGCACTGAGCTTCCCCGTCCCTTTCTCTCTGCCTCAATCACTCACTCCACTTCTCATCCAGATGAAAAAGCAAAAAGAATAAATCATAAATCTCTTTGACTGATGAAGATTAAAGAACAGGAACTGTAATAGCTGCATTACACACTGAAATGTTTGAAACCACGTAAGACAAGTTAGGAAGTGGAATGTGGATGCTGTGAGAGGAGGATGTGGCTTACCTTGTTAGCAGAAGGCTCTCCTGGACTATGAGCTCCCCCCCCCTTTCCCGCAGACCCCGAGACACTTTTAGACAAGGAGAGAAATAATCAGTCTTCTCTCACTTTGTCTCACTTCCAGTTTCAGAATAAATATGCCTGGCTGAGTGGAGAAGACACACCTCCGCTCTGGTCCTCTGAAACTCTGTCACATACACACACACACACTCACACACACACTTGCACTCCAAGACTGAAGTATTCAAATTGATACAGATCTGCTCGAGGGAGGGATAAAAACTCAACACACACACAACTGCAGTGTATTTTTTTCTTCTTGCCTACTTGCTTCAATGCTTCTTTCCTGCTATCTTTGCCTGCACTGCATCCTGATTGGCTCAGCAGCTCTTCAATAACAGAAGCTCTCTCCTTTAACTGGAAGGCAGCCAGTTATGTGGTGCACCAGAAACCCTCCCGCCCCTGCTCAGCTCTCTCTCTCTCTCTCTCTCTCTCTCTCTCTCTCTCTCTCTCTCTCTCTCTCTCTCTCTCTCTCTCTCTCTCTCTCTCTCTCTCTCTCTCTCTCTCTCTCTCTCTCTCTCTCTCTCTCTCTCTCTCTCTCTCTCTCTCTCTCTCTCCCTCTGTGTGTGTGTGTGTCTTTTTTTCTTCCAAAGTGCCTGTGGAGAAGAATGCTGAGCTCTGCAAATGCATACGCATCGAGCAAAGACAAATAAAAAAGGGATGGAGGACAGCAGGTAAAGGGTATGGGGTGTGTGGGAGTGGTGATGGGGAGAGCATCCGAGGAAAATGAGTGGACCGTAGAGGGACAAACATGGGAACAAAGAGACAAGAGAGTGGGAGTGGAGGTGGGGGGGATCAGGTGTGGTGAGAGCAGGTTTGGATGTGTTGTTCTCCCTGCTGCAGCAATCTGACAGCAGCTTGAATGAAAGGAGCTTTCCCTGTGCTCACTGCAGCGCAGCAAGGTGGCTCTGCTGCAGTGAGAGTCTGAGGGGGAGGGAGGGGAAGGGAGAAGGAGGAAGAGGAGGCAGAAGAAAGCAGGGGGTTGGCTGCAGTGATACAGAAGTATGATCTTCCAGCCAGCTTGGATGTATTGGATAGAAAATGGGCAGCCAGCTGCAGAGTGGTTAATGCCTTTAGCTGGTGAATTATTGAAGGTGTCCCAGAGGAGAATGAGAGGAATTACTGATTCTGTTCATTCTCAATGAACCAGATTTACACATTTTACTACCTTTAAAATGTGCACTAAAAATGATTTTATCAAGAGTTTTCAGGGATGGGGTTGTTATATTTATCATGGTTTGTTAAAAAGGCTTCCCCCATCAGAGGGAAAAGGATGTGGGATTGACTTTGTGGTGTCGGATTCCCTGCTCCAGTTTTTTTTTCTTATTCATATCTGTTCCATTGTGTCCCAGCTGCACTGGAGCACAATACCTGAGCAGATTAATAACATATCAAACAACAGGTGCACACGTGATGTGATGAGGACAGAAAAATCTATTCACAGTGTTAGTTCAGCCGTCTGTGTAAATATCTGATGAATGAGTTTGGACAAACTAAAATATTCCTGATGCCTGAGAGGCTGAGTGTTCACCTGTGATGCACCAGCACCGACTGTTGCTTCCATCAAAATCATTAGCATGGAAATAGGAGATACCCTTGCTTATCTGGGTAGCAAAGGTGTGTGATGAGACTCCAGCAAGGGAGGAGTTCAGTGTTGATGGATGGATGGATGGATGGATGGATGGATGGATGGATGGATGGATGGATGGATGGATGGATGGATGGATGGATGGATGGATGGATGGATGGATGGACAGAGGGCTATTACTGATGTAAAGACTCAGTTGGCTCAGTGTCAAGTATTCTGACTTATCTCTACTTCCTTTTCAAAATCTTTTTGAACCAATCATGTTCAATGCCTTTAAAGTAAGCAGAGTTTTGTAAACAAAATAGAAAAGATACACAGTGTGTAATTATCTGTCCTGGTTAAACTAGACAAACATGTAACTTGTACTCAGATTCCCATTTTTATTGAAATGAGTAATATTTATAGAGAAAACAAACAGTCTAGCACTGACTTTTAGATGAGCACTCAGAAACATTTTATTTGCTTGTCTTCTACCACTACATTGATTACATTTTGTTACCAACATTTAAAATGGGAAGGAAGTTAAGAAAAGGAAAATCAGTCAAAACAAGCTTTAAATCTGGGGTGTCTAAACTTTTAAAGATGACAACGAAATTTGTCAAGTTAAAAATCCTTGTGGGTTTTATTGTGATATTTTTTCCGTGCTCCCCAACACTCGGCCTGAACAGGATATGGTAATAATGTTTAAAATTAAACATCTAGCACACCTCTGTTGTCGCTTGGCTTCCTGGGGCTGGAGGCTAGGAGGGAGATCCGTCCGCCCGGTTGGGGTCTGGGGTGGTGGGTTGCTGTGCTCAGCGTTGGGCGGGGGAGCCTGCTCATCAGCACTCCAGCAGAAAGGGTCGAACTCTGGGAACCGGTAATGGTTGTACCCCATGTGCAGCAGTACCGGGACCAGAGTGAATAGGGTGTGTACGGGGAGCATGAGTGGGTGTCCGGCGTGCATTTTTGTAAGTCTTTGGTTGTATGTGCATGTGTGAGCATGAGGGAGGGAGTGTGTGACTGTGTTTGTGTATGACTGTGTATGTCAGGTGGGGCCTTTGACTCCTCCCCTCTCCTGGGACTTCTTTTGATTATATAGATCTTCGTCTCCCCTCCCCCTGCCACACCTGGTGTGGAGTGTGGTGCCTTGGTCTGCCTGAGTGTTCGTGGCTCCCGGGTCAGGGGGTTTAAGATTTTTGGCGTCTGCCTGACCAATCCCGGTGGCTGCCTGGTGGGGTCTGGGTCCCTGGGCTCTGCTGGGTCCCCGGCGGGGGTGGTCGCCCCTGGGTCCCGGGTCGCTGGGTCCCGGGCCTGTGGGCTTGTCGGCGATATCTCCCGGGACTCTGCCGACTGCTGGTTGTGGCCCCCCCGGGCAATCATCTGTGCCTCTCGAGGGAGGCAAGGGCTGTTCTGGTCGCAGTCTCCCTGGGGTCCCTGTGCTCTGGGGCAGCTCCTGGATCTCTGGGACTTGGAGCTCCCTCCGTCTCCTACGCATCTTTGGGGGGCAGAGTTGTGGCCCCTCACACTCTCTATTGGACGCTCCTATAGAGAAACCTTACATAAACAAGCGCGTGTACACACACAGGTGCTCACATGGTGCTCTCATGAGTATGGACTTGGGCACGTTCAACACTTGTCTTAAGGCTATGGTGGGCACTAAATGCACTGTGATTTATTATCGTGTGATTGTTCAGTTAAACAACGTTGATTTTATATTTCTTCAGCAAGTTGATGCAGTGATAGATTGATCTTGGTGTATTGTTGTTGTGTCCCATTTTTTATTTACAAAGAATTCAAAAACAATAACAATAAAGTTTTAAGTATCAGGCGTGACATTAAAAGCAGACGCTTTGATGCTCCACCTGAGAGTAAATCTGTAAGGCTTGTCACCAGCATTCAGACATCAATTCTGTTTGCTTCACAGCCAGACAGGACACGGGAAAAAAATAAAATTAAACATCTAATTTTAAAGTAGGTGTGGATTTACATCATAGGAAGCCCAAGTTACAACCATCTGTTTCTGCATCATGAATATATTTATCACCTTCTAGACTGGACCGTTACTTTAGGTGTTGTGTGGAAAAAACGTAGTAGCATGCCCGTCTCACCAAACTGAAGTCATCGCACCAAACACGGAGAAAAAATGGCTGTGAGTTTAGCAAGCTTCATATCCTTCATCCAGGAAAAAGGAGCCTTAAAAGTGGAGAAAGCCACTATAAATCTGGTAAGTAGCAGCTATGCTGGGGGAGAGGAGAATGTGTGCTGACGTCATATATGCGACATCTGATCTGTAGTCAGTTTATGAATTTTTACAAACTAATAAATATCAAAGTAAGTGAAAGGCATGGTCAAAACATTCATCATTACTTTTCATTTAAACTGAAGTACAGCATAAGTGTGATTCAGGGCGTGAGGCAAAGCGGATTAGAAAATTGATTTTATAGCTCCGTTCACTTGCATTCATTGTTTTCTTTGTTCCGGGGATCCATGAGCCGACCGGGAGGGGAGAAGACTAAAGGTGTCATAGATCCAAATGTCAGTTTGTGAAATGTTAATCCTAAATCTGTCTTAATCCAATTAAACCTGTTCCTTTCTGCTCTCAGTAGGAGGACCTGACAACAGCATGAGGATAAGTTAGAGGATAGATGGAGGTAGAGCTGTTTGGGTCAAATCTTTAAGACCACCATGTGCTCTCTCACACAACAGCTCAAGCATCTCTGATATCAGCATGTTTCACTTTAGCTCGATGTTCATAAAACGGACTAAATGTCCTGAGGGGAACCATTAGTAATGAACCTGTTCATTAAAAACAAACTCACAGGTAAATACTGTTCTCAACTTTCAGTGGCAGATAGATTATATTTATAAATGTAAGAACAAGCCGCTTTAAGGGTTTATTGTGCCATAGAGTGATCAGGGTTCATTTCTTTTTTTTTTTTTATCGTTTCCACAGTTGAGCGTTATGCAGGATGTAAAGTGTCCATTAGATCTGCATCTGTCCATCTACTATGAGCTTTTTATAGAGTTTCAAAGAGTCCTTAGAGACAGATTTCCTTTTAGAGCCTGGTCATCATGTTGCTGTACTCAGTAGAATACTACTTCCTGCTGGGAATGCAGAAGGACTCGTCTGCTCATTTTAAACAATTACAAAATGAATGACAATAAAAAAATGAATTTCTGATTGAAACTTTTCTAATCAACACAGTTAAAAATGGTGTAAGTTACAATATCATAAAAAAGATCTTTTAAATTTGAATGTTCAATAGTTAAATTTGAAAACCTCTGCTTGCAAACATTTGTGAATTTTGATTTCATTTTATTTTACTTGCACATAAAAATCTCAAACGTAACATTTCTGTAAAAAACAGATGCAGTGCTGGAAATTACAAATAGTAAACAGAACAAAAACAAACATTTCCAATGGTCATCTGTGAATGTTTTCATTCATCACCGCGGTCTCTTCTTTCTGAGGGAGGCTGTAGACCGTGATGGAGATGTTTGAGTCTTTGAACACCTCTTCCAGGATCGCAGACACCTTGGACCACTCCAGGCGATCTAGGCCACACCCAATCCTGAGAGCGCCAGACCTGCTGGTAAAATCACTGTAGTGCATGCATGTGAAAGAGCGATGGGACTTACCGAGGCATGGATATTCTCGTTACGTTGTTTTTCACACAGTGAGACTTCATGTCCTGCAGACTCTGTCTCAGGCAGTTGTAGGTGGGTCTCTGGCTGGCTCTTTTCTTTGTGATCTAAAAGTCAAATAATAGAAAAATACAACATGGAAATGGTGACTTCATCAGATCAATGATCTTTCATTGGATAAAAGTTTGAAGTGACCACAAACTCTGTACCAAGTAGTAGAGAAAACGATGGCCCTGTTTCAGCACGGCACACTGTCCAGGCTGCTTTTCTGTTTGGGTAAAGGGAAAAGAAATTCATTTTTAAAAATGAACGAACGAACGAACGAACGAGGTCCATGGCGCAGCCCGCAGCTGGCTGTAACTCAGTTGCAACTGATCTGGCTCAAACCTTCCTGTTTTTTTCCTCACAGGGGAGAGACACTTGGGGAGCACTTCCATGGAACTAGGATTGGAACAATATTACATGTAACTTACGTCACGTGACATAGAAACATATCAGCTCAACACTAACTAAAACTGCTCAAAAAAATTAAATGTACTGGAAAATGCAAACCGTGTGCTCTGAGAGAACACGGTTGTTGTTGGATGTCACTACAGTCATTTACCCATTCACACCATCGACATATAGGATTCACACACACATTCACACGCTGATGGCTGCATTAGAGCTACAGCTGTCCTGGGGTTCACTGACAGAGGCAAGGCTCCCAAGTACAAGTGCCATCAGTCCATCTGAATGTTGCTTTGCAGCAAGAAGGCTGCAATTTCAAATCGCAGCTGCAGGAGTGGAGTTAGTATGTCCTGTGCATCCATGTTTGAGTTTCTCTGGGTGCTCGAGTTTCCTCCCACAAATCATAAATATGCATGTAGGTTGGTTGGTGACTCTAAGTTGCTCCTAGGTGTGAGTGAATGTGTGACTGGTTGCTTGTCTCTGTGTGTGTCCACATGATGGACTGGAGACCTGCCCAGGGTGTCCCCTACTTTTCCCCAGTTACTGCTGGAAAAAGTCACTCATGACCCTGCTGAGGAAAAGCAGTTCAGAAAAGGAGTGAGTTAGTGAACGTTAGGCTTTCATCAGTAAGCAGAGAGCTTTTGTGCACTTCTGGTTCCCTGGCATGAACAGGAACTAAAGTAAACCTCCGTTTATGCAGTTTCACTACACCACCACCTCAATCTGAGGTCACGGATCAGCAGGAGGCGCTATTGCGCATCTGAAGACTCAATGAGGCGCTGTCACGCGGATCTTCACTAAAGTCCGTCTGCTCAGAACTACTGAGAAGTATGCTGGGGGGTTAAAATAATCACGGGGACTCACTCTGCTCCTTTAGTTCCGACACCCCACCGAACCTCTTCCTGAACAGAACCGCTATGCCTGCGCCCATACGGCAGTCCTCACTTATGCAGTGCGCCAAGGATTCATCCGGCGGACAGGAGAACAGGTCCCCGGTGATATAACACAGCGTCATGTTGCCTTCTGTAAGACAGCCACGAGGGGGCCGCATTAGACTGATAGATAAGCTAGCCCTGCTGCTGAAATCTCATTTTAAACACACGTAAAATTAGTACAGCATGCAAATACGTGGTTTACCTTCTCTTCGATAAAATAGGAGTTTGGTGTCCGAGGTAGAAACGACACAGACGACCCTGTAAAACTGCGGCGGACTCACGACGTGTATGCCCACAGCTCAGTTTGTTTTGGTTTATCTTCTTCGTCTTTCTTTTTAATGGTGGTCTGCAAACAGTATACGATGCACTACCGCCCCCTCCTGGACTGGAGTGTGAAACGTAAAACTTCACAAAAGCACCCACTGTTCTAAAAAACTCAAATAACTCATTATACATAGCCTGTATCGCTCTGCAACAGTTCTTCATTTCCAGATGGATCATTATTTTTGTTCAATAAAACATCAGTCATTTGAAACAGCTATTTGCAAAGATAATAGCCTCTGATTACACACAATCCACTGAAAGACTCGCTTTATTTGGCCCACTGATGTTTATTACATTTTTTGTTTCTTTATTTGTTTTTTACTTGTATTATGCCTCAGCCTTAGCTCATGTTTTGGTAGTTTTATGGTCAAAGTGACTGAAGACAACCATAAGATCAAGTTTAGTTACTCTTACATGACACCAAATGTCTGAAAAAAAACTGGAATCATGCATTTCAAACTTTAAGAATTAAAATCTGACTTAGTCTATTTGTTGATTTTTAAACATCTGTGTTTCCATCCTGTCTGGTAGGATCATCAGTGAACAGTTTTAATGTGTGAAATATCCAAAAATACAAAGAACAGGTCAGGATCCTCTTCTTGGACTTCTCTAGTGCCTTTAACATCATCCAGCTTGGTCTGCTCTTGCCCTGCCTGGTTTCTTGGATCTCCAGGTAGCTTTCCAGCAGACCACAGTTAGAGTGAAGAACATCATGTCTGATGTCTAGTTTACAATTATCCATCTGCAGAGGAGTGAAGATTTGCAATGCCATTCACTCTCCAGGCTTGCAAGGACGAGCAGAATAGAGCCCATTTTTCTAACAATCCATCAAACGCAACTAAGACTGCAAGCTTGCGATTGGTCAGGATACCACTCACTTTAAGTTTGTCAACAGCATCACCATTCTCTCAAAAAAAAAACAAGTGACAAAGATATTTAACAACAAACAAAGAAAAGATTGAAGAACATCTTACAGAAAAAGTCTGATGATATAAATATTAACCATGGCGAAGGGAGTTCAAAGATGTGCAGCAGACTTTTTTATTTGTTTTGGGAAATTATGAGAAATGTGGCTTTGGAGGTGGTGACTGCATAAAGAGGTGGAAGAAAATGAGGGACAAATGTGTTTAAAAGGCTCTGAAATACATTAACGAACACAAGGTAAACACACAATAGTAAATAGGTCCAAACCCAGACTCGCACAGTACCTTACGGTCTTTAGCAAAGTGCACTTGGAGGATAATATATTGAATAAATCTTGTTAATCGTCCTAAAATGAACTACTTTTAATTGAAAATGCAGATTTTCAGAAAAGGCACTTGAGACATTGTTCTGCCTTCTTCTCAAAATTACCATGCAGCAATGGATTGTGGGTAATACCCTTCACTCAAGTTTGTATTGAAGCGGACTTAGGTAAAGTGCGGATCAAGGGTGCAAAAGGGTCAACTTCTGCACTTGAATAAGGACACCATATGCACTCGCACCTCTGGACTGGAACGCGCAGTTAAAGGGCACAAGTGCAAGTATTGGAATTGGGCCATAATAGATACGTGCCTGCAATGATGGCAGGATGCCCCAGAAAAGTGCTATGCCCCCTGGTGTCCTGGCGGAGAATTGCTTTACAACATTGACAAACCAACAGAGAAGTAAAAAAGGAAAACTTATCTGTTAATACATGTGCATGTGAGTGCAAACTTGCTGATGGAGCAGTATAAACTACACTTCACGCAGTGATCAGTAGTTCAGGGGCACCACAAGGAACTATCCTGTTTACCCACACTACAGTACTTCAGGAATAACTTGGAATTATGTGATCCTCATGAAGTATATTTACACCTTTTGTATCTATGATTTACTGATGTGAACAATGTCTTAATATATATTTCACCTTAATGCTTACCAAGGCGAGAGAGAGGCCACCCCCACCCCACCCCACCCCACCCCCCACCCCCCACCCCCGCACGCCCACCCGCCCCGCCAGTCACCGGACCGCCCCTGTTCCCTCCTTCCGCTTCGAGCTTCAGCTTGGTAAAGAGAAAGGACACTAGAGAGCGAAATGGGGGTAGAAATTGAAACCATAACCCCAGGCGACGGTGAGATGGATGTGTTGTTTATTACTGCTCCACCTTATTTACTCCTAACGTAGTCCAGCACTAAACTGTGCTTTCTGAATGTCCCCCTGTCTTTAGGACGGACATTCCCGAAGAAGGGGCAGCGCGTCGTGGTGCACTATGTTGGTAAGTACGACAGTCATGGTTTAGACGAGGGATTTGTTGTTGTATTTTGTCTATATGTTTGTATCGGAGCAGTCGTGTGGAAGTTGTGCTTTCTATAAAAGGGGCGAGCAAGTGCTAACAGATTGTTTAGCTAACAGCAGGATATGTCCGTTAGCTTCCGCCTGTCGCTCCCGTCGCTCCATATAGTTATCGCTATGGTGATTTGGCTAACACCCACACAAGCTAAAGCCTCTGGTTAAATTTGTTACTTATGTCTGCTACTCAGTTAGCTGGGTGATACCACTTTTATAATTATTATCACGGAGAAGTGGTAGGACGGACGTAGTAGCTGCTGCTGCTAGACCCTAGATACATCCGCGGAGATGTCTGCTGGAGCTTCTAGGCATGCGTAAACACGGCCGCCATCTTACGTGGGGCTCGAGAATTTCATTCAGAATCAGGGTTTTATTGAAACAGCAAGACTGATCAAGTGGCAGACCTATGCTTTATGTAAAGGAATGTGATCAGAGGTGGCTGCTCCACCTTCTGCTGTGTGACATGATTCAGTGTTGATGACAGGTGTTTATTTCTGAGGCTGAAGGGTTGAGTCTGCTTCAGGTTGGACAGAAATAAACTTGGGTTTTCAGCTAGATCCTAACTTTACTACACGTTATCCATGTCTTCATAACAAATCTCACTTAAGGTGAAGGACATAGATCAGGGGTAGTCAACTCCCTTCCCCAAGTACCGGTATCCAGCATGTTATAGTTGTTTTCCTGCTTCAATGCACCTGATTTTAATCAGCAAGTGATTAACATGTTTCTGTAGAGATTGTTGTGGTGCTGAACAGGCGAATCATCTGTGTTGAAGCAGGGCACCAACTAAAACTTGCTGGATACTGTCCCTTGGGGATTGGAGATGACTAGATAAATGACAGCCAAACTTACATGGTAACCAGCTGGAGCTAGCTTTCTGTGAGCTGCCTCTAAATGTCAATACAAGCTAACTGTTGAGTTTTATGTCAAAATAATTCTCACCAGCTCTTTTTTATTTATTTATTGTTATTTATTACAGGCACCCTGGCAGATGGGAAAGTGTTTGACTCATCGAGGTCTCGGGGGAAACCCTTTAAATTTAAAATTGGACATCAGGAGGTGATTCGAGGCTGGGAGGAAGGAGTAGCTCAGGTGAGAAGAAGCCCATGTTCACTCTGCAGGTGCACTTCATGGTCTGTTTTTTTGGGGTACAACACATTAAAACTTAATGTTGGCAAAACACAAGCTAATTATTGATTTCTGGAAGAAAAAACAAACTTTCTCTCTAGTGGTCATCAAAGGCCAATCTATTGAAATTGTTGAGTCATACAAATATTTAGGGGTGTACTTTGACAGCAAGCTAAACTGGAAAAGGAACAGTGATGCTGTTGTTAAAATCGCCCAGTCCGGATTTATTTTCCTTTGGAAGCTGAGATCCTTTGACATAAACAGCAGGCTCCTGAATGTTTTTTTTAATCGGGATTATTCATGGCTACAAGGATGATGAGCAAACTTAAGACTGTTCTGTCTCGAGGATCACCCTCTCCACAATGTTTATAATGAACTGAGGAGGTCTTTCAGTGGGCGAATGTTATCGCCCCATTGTTAGACTTGTTAAACCCGTTGTGAAAGTCTTCACTCTTTCATTCCTGCTGCAGTGCGGTTTTATAAGGCACTATGTGTGATCTTATATTTGATGTTGATACATTGTTCTTATAATGCTGTGGAACAATGGTTGTGGTCTATAGCCAGGGGTGCACATAATATTTTTGGGTTGGTACTCAGGGGAGAACCCATGGTTGTTGCTTGGTCCTCACGTTTTTTAATGCACTTAATTCGTAACCCACAATAGGAACAAAACAGAGTAACGCGTTGACGATGCAACATATTTTAATTTTGACTGAAAACAATAAGTACAACAGGTACATGTTGCCAGCTTAACTTAAACCTTCAAATTTTCAAATAACATGACTGAATTATATGAATGTAAAACACAATGTGTAAACAGCTGCTTTTGTGATAACTAATCAAATAAAAAACGTTCCTAATTTCACAAAATCTATGCCTTTCTCCATGCATATCATTTTTAGTTGTGCAATTCGCTTTGCACCCCCTTTTCTTTAAATAAAACCTCAGCAGATTAATAGTGGATTGATTAAATAACTCACAGTATGGGACTGCTCGGTCAGCTGACTTGGTGCAGTTCTCCAGCGTGTGGGCGGTGCACAGAATATGCACAAGGGAATCCTTGATGTCCACCATCTGGTGTATTTTGGGGACAACCCTGTTGTACACTCCAGCGTTGACAGCGGCTCCGTCCATGCACACAGACACCAACTTTGTCTTCCAGCTGCACAAGTCCATCCACTATGTCTTGCGCTATTTGACTGGCCCCCAGATTAATTATTCCAAGAAAATCTGAGCTGAACTGACCGGCACTGGACACGGACACAGTGTACATGATTTCCAGCTCCGTTTTTGTGATGTCTTCTGATCCATCAAAGAGCACACCCCATAATTCTGCTGCTTGCAGTTTTTCTCTTAAATCAGAAGTGATTGTCTGTGCGATGCATTCAGTGATCCACCTTCTCGTGAATGACACGCATTTCCGACATTAACTCCAATTCTCTTCAGAAGCGGAATATCTTCTTCATACGAGCGCATAGGACGTCCATGTTTCGCTTTGTGAAAAGCTACAAAGAAAAACATTGCAGAGTGCTTGTTGCTGCTCTTCATTTAGCTTGTCTTTCCACTTGTTGAGGGGACCACTGGGCCTCTGGTCCTGACTGCGTCCAGCTTCATTATTAACTTCCCGAACAACTTTCTGATGATCTCTGCTGTTAGAATGTTTATCAAACGCTGGATGATTGAAGTTTTTAGCGCCTATGTAAAAAGCGCTGTTTTTGTCTGCCAGGGTGGGATTTTCACGGCGTAATCTGCACCACATCTCTGTACGTTCATCCTTTTGTTTGAAGCCAGCCGACCTCCTGCAGCCACTTCTCCGTGAATCCTCTTTTCTTTTGCGGTTCCGAGTCAGTCTGGCGTTTTTTGGGGGGCGGAGGAACACCAAAATAATTACTTAATGGAGCTTGCTTCTTGGACATCTTTAAAATGCTCCAGAAATGTCTTCCTTACTCCACAAAATCTTAGGTGTGCAAATGCGTGCTGCAGCTTTTTTTCAGGTGCACATTGTTTATTTTGACAGCGCACCTGCGGACCACTTATGTGTACACCTGTCTATAGCAGAGTCAAGTGAATGTGAATATTGTCTGGTTGTGGTTGTTTTTACACGTCCATGGCAAGTTGATTTCCCAATAAAACAAAATTTGAATCTTAAAAACATCTTCTACATGGTTGACGGTAAAATGACAACCTGACAGACCTTCTGTGAAACTTTCATTAGCGGTTATCTGGTGCTCTAACCATCTGTAGTAGATCAGGTGGATGGTGTGTAGGCTGTGAGCTTGTAGCTCTTTCACTGCATGCTTTAAAATATCCATCTATAACATTCATGCTGAATAACTTTACAACATGGAGATACTGATCAGCTTCTATTTTCCTGCAGTTTTATTCGATAAATAACTTGTTGCATAAGTTATGAGGAGTTCACTCCTTGTTATAGGAGGCGTGCTGTGGAGGGAGGCGACGCATGTTCTGCTATGTGTTGGATTAAAACTGTGGTTTCAGTCGTGCCGGCTTACAAAACAGTACTGATTGCTGACGGTTCAAATATTCCAGTTATTTAATGGCTGTTTACATTTAAATATGAACTCCACTCCCAGTGAGGTCAAAGGTCAGTCAGTTTAGAATGATGGAAGGATGCCTGATGCTGTGTGTGCACATTTTACCTGCTGCTGCAAGATTGGATTATATTTTTAAATAGCACACACATACACACACACACACACACCAGAGACTCAGATGGGTTGGTGGTGTGTACGCCCACTTCCACCAAACGGCTAATATAACAGGGTTGTTTTTAAGCTCTTCGTGACTTATGATGACTCATCTTCTGTTGCTGCAGGGACAACAAATGCAGTTTTCAGTTTTTTTTTTTTTGGTTCAAAATAGTTCATCTGACATTTTCTACAGCAGAGAGTTTCCATTTGACCTGAGTGGTTTATTTGTGCTGGAGCTCCACTGATCCCCCCACCCTCACGTCCCCATTTGCACCTGACCTTTTTAGCAGACATTTATCCAAAGTGACTTACAGAAAATGTGTCTAAAACAGTTTAGTGCTTTTTACACTCAATCCAGTTTTAACCATGTCTTAGTGCAGACGCAGCAGCACTGTTGTTTCTAACAAGTACAGAACCAGAATGGAGAAAAATTAACGGATGCCACAATTCTTATAGAGGACGTATGAGGCAAATCTGACTTTATGCATTCTTTTCTGGAGCCATACGGGTGTCTCCTGCCTCCATGAACATCCCAACCAGGAATAAAACTCCATTCTGTCAGATTTTTGGTGAAAACTCTCATTGAGGCACATAACTACACCACTTCTGATGAAATCCATGTCAGCCCAAAGGATCTGAGTCATACTTGTGTTTTGTTAAGTTTGTTGTGACGAAGTGTCCTCCTTATCCACAGATGAGTGTAGGCCAGCGGGCGAAGCTCGTCTGTTCACCAGACTATGCTTATGGCAGCAAAGGTCACCCAGGCATCATCCCACCTAACGCCACCCTCACTTTTGACGTGGAGCTGCTGGGGCTGGAAGCCTGAAATGTGTGCACTCACCTTTGTTTAAATTCCACTCAGACGTTCAGGGTAAGACAATTAAATTCATTCACACAGGCAGCTGATGTTCATGTAGAAACATCTGGCTTTGAAAAGTAATGGATGTCTCACAGGACTGATGAGCTAACGGCTAGTCCAAACCAACAAAGTCCCGTGTATGATTCCACTATTGTAGACCTTTTTACAGCCTTCAGTCGTACAGTTCATTTACAACCCAACAGCAAAAAAAAAGTGCTGTCATCTGTCTGGTTCAGTTTGGTCCGGTCCGGTCCAGTTTGGGCTTTGTGAAACAGCTTAAAAATGTAAAGATCCAGCAGGAATGTCTTTGTATCTTAGCCAAAATAAACATGTTATGTAAGACTGATGAAATAGGTTTTTTTTTTACTTTCCACAGAAACAACAAGCCTGGTAACTGTACTCCTGCCTTCCTCCTCCTTCCCAGCCCTGACTCTGGTCTGTTCTTCTGTTGCAGGTTGACTATTGTCTTTGAGAACATGGAGGAAGATGTTCAGATGATTCCTGCTATTCCTGTATAGGACCTATATCTAAAGCTTCACTTATTCTTTTTCCTTCCCATTCAGATACAAACTGAATTATGTCACTTACTTTGAAATCGTATCTATCATACTTAGGGATGTTTCGATTGATAGGCTGCAAAATCAAAATCGGCTGATTTCTGCGAAAACACCAGATCGGCCAATTCCAATCAACGCCTTTCAGAGCCAATCATGCCGACCGATCACCCGTCGCTCGTACTTTGTAGCCGGCAGAGACCCGTGTGCGGCATCACATCCCCCTCCTTAACACTACACATGAGTCAGGTGAGTTTTCATTACTCCCTGCAGAAATATAAACACACTCTGAGCAACAGTCAGACACATCCAACGAAGCTTAACCGTCACAAGACCGAGAACTGTCCTCAGTTTCCTCTGTGGTGGGCGACACCGGGTTCCGCCCACTCGGAGCCGCTATGGGTAATAAGTAAATAAGTCTAATAACGTAACGACTCAGACTCTCTCTGGTTATTCGCTCGAGGGTCTTTAATTCTGTCTACAGTCAGCAGGAACCCGCGCCGTACAACTTCACCCATCTACAGAACAGTTAGTAACAGAGCGGCTTGCCCTAGGATGACAGCAGCCACCGACCGGAACCGGAAACATCCTTTTCTGCCCGCTGAACTTCCCGTCAAAATAAAACTAAACATTACTCTCGTATTATTGCCTCTTCAGATCTTTACAATAATAGTAATAATAATAATAAATCAAATAAATCTCACAACACAAAGTTGTGAGAATGGTTTTTACTTTTCTGCACTACTTAGACTGATTGTTACTGACAGCAGCTACATTTAAATGTTCCAGCTTCATCATTGATGCTTCGTGCAGCATGTTGGTGTAGATCCTCGTTCATCCTGGACGTGATCCTCATAAGAGTTTTAATAGAAAACAGCTGAACCCATCTGGTTACCTTGAAGACGTTTTACCTCTCATCCAAGAGGCTCCTTCAGGTCTAAACCCTGGTTGTGAGTAGGAGGCTTAGGAGTTGTGGTCGGAAAGAAACACACGGAGTGTCTTTATTTTTTTTTTTGGATAAAGTAAAACCATGTTTTTGTCTAAATCAACACAGGCCATTTAAGATGATGTTTTTTGTTCCTTTATTCCCAGATTATGTCGGCTTTAGCACTCATAACTACATAGAAAGTTTATGCCAGATCCATGTGATCAGTATTGGTGATTGTCACTCTTGGGTATCGGTGTCGTGATCAGCAGCAAAAACCTGATCGAAGCATCCCTAGTCATACTTTAGTTTCCAAACTGTAGGCTTTCATATTTCTTATCATTTCTGTTTTACTGTAATTCTTTATTTGTTTTAAGACTTAAAACAACCGGATTAACTCTTGTTTGTTTTCCATCAGGATTTTTTCTTTTTCTTTTTTTTTTTAACAAAACAGTCGTAAATGGTGACTCGGTTTAATCTCTGTGGTTTTGTGGCCTTTACAATCACACTGTACTGACTGCAGGTAATGAACTGTGTTGAATAAAAATATATTTGCTAGTGGAATAAAACAAAAATATGTAACAATGTGCAGAAAATAAACCCATGGTTTAAAGATAGCCACATAAACAGTGTTGCCATGAATTACTTACAAGTTACTTGACATTTTTGTTGTTCTGCAAAATGACTTAATTTGTGTATTGTTTACAAGTCAACAGAATTGTTCCTGGTCATGAGGAGGTTTACAGGCACAAACATTTGGGCTGGTTAAAGCATTCTGGGTCAGTTTTATGTTGTTTTTTTTTTTCTCTGAAGATGCGAAGGGTAATTTTCCCCTCCTGTGTGCAATTGTTTCTCACTGCTTTGCATTTTCTGATATTATTTATAGGTATTGCAGCACATTAACAAAAAAGGAAAGGAAGAGAACAAGCAAGTTTTATTCACCAAGAGGAAACAGGGTGTTGTTTTTGGTTTCTTATACCAAACTATATATAAACCATATTTTGCAATAAAAAGTTCTCAAGCTCTTGCTCAAGCTGACTCCTTGATTCCACTTCACCAACATTTGGAAACATTTATGAACAGTTCATGTTTGGGTTTATTCACACAAACAGATGAAGCAGAAAACGTGGATTCAAATGTATAAACCCGTTCTCACAGAACCCGATCCATTCACACGGTTCCCTCTCAACCCCTGGAGTGTTGCATAGCAGCTGTGGACAGATGATAAAAGTGCTTTATGGGGTGTTTGGAGCAGAGATGGGTCTTCCTATTGGCATACATCAGAATGAGCTGTTACTTTGATCTAAAATGCAGATGTTTGCTTTCTTATTTTAACTAATTCTTAGTTTATGGTTAATGTCCACTCCAAACTAAAGAAACCGAAACTAACCCTTTTTATAAATTATACTGATCCATCAATCTGTTGGGTCTTTAGCTATACACTGTGGAAAAAGTATTTGCCCTGTTGCAAACTTTTTTCTGGTCACAAGTTTCCCAGTAAATTGGTTTCAGTATCAATTAAAAATAACCCGAGCAAATGTAAAGTCAAGTGCTCAAACCATGTTAGAAAGTAATCCCTCCATGTTAAATCGTGAATGATCTGTAATTAACCTAATTTTGAAAGTTCGTGATCAGGTGTGGCTGGTGGAGCTGAACTTATCAAAACCATAGAATAACTTTAAATGAACCTGTCTGACAACGTGACGTAGGCCAAGACCTGAAAAACCAACACATTGTGGCCTGTTCTAAATAAAAACCCAGAACATCTGAAGCCCTGCAGGGATGATTTGTGTCTGGTACAGATCAGAGGTCAAGAAAGCCAAAACTTCTTCAGGTCAGCGTAAACATTTTTAATCTCTGCAAATACATGAACTAACGTGTCAACATTGCTGTCTGTGTCAGAGGACAAAGACGAGGACAGCAATGTTGAAACTACAGTTAATTTATTTGCACCGTTTAAATATTTTCCGTTGACCCGAGTGCTGCAACCTTCTTTTTCCTCTTCACACTCATAAAGTAAACAAGAAAATCAGAAATCCCTTAATCCACTTATGAGTAATTATTAGAAAAACTGCTGGCCATTTTTGTTGACCTGAAACCGAATAAATACCAGTAAGGGTGTGTTATCTTTTTTCCCCCTCAACCCTGATGAGAGGATATTACCAAAACAACCGAAAGACTGCCTTTTAGATGCTCTGTTATTGATTAGTTCTGACTGGGTAACTGTTTGACTCCGTGGGATAGTGTTGTCTGCTGTTTCCATGACTGTGATTCTTCCATTTAAAAGCTTTAAATTTCACATTTAACCTATTTTCATTGTGTAAACTGTATAAAATTATTCTAAAGGTTGCTCGACAAAACCCACGCAGGGCTTTGAAGCACTAGCAAGGCAATCTGAGCTGCTTTTATGCATGCAGATTGCTTTAAAGAGAAAACATTTGAAACTCCAGGCAGAAGCAGAAGGAATAAAGGAAAAGATTACTGCTGAGTCCTGGTTTCTCTCATTCAACTGTCAACCAGAAACCTTCAGAGGTAAAAAGTCCTGCAGGAGGAGACATCTGACACATGGCTGGATTGGCATGTTGACTCAGCAGAGGTTTACAGATGTGCTCTGGTTTAAAGATTCAGAGTGGAGCAGTTCCCTTGATGCTGGTGGGCCTGCGCCCCCTGCCTGCACCCTGACGTCTCAGCGAGTGGAGAGCAACGGCACAGCAGCCCCTCAGCAGGGAGCCGATGTGGTAAGCAGGCATGACTTCCTGTGGCGCTCCTCTACACAACCACGCCATCGTTGGGACCATGGGCATCGCCAAAGCCAAAAGGTCTACCAGGAAGTAGGGGCTCCAGTGACATGGCTCAGGGGATGGCCCAGCTTCAGTCCCTCCATCAGTTTTCTCCTCGTGGTCCTCGTCTATCTCCAGCACTGTGGCTTGCTGTTGAACAGGAAGTGGATATATAGGTTGGGGTTGGCAGGTTTGGATTCGTGCTGGCACTTTTGCTGCCTCAGGTTTCTCAGATGGGGGCAGCTCAGTGCTGGGGCAGAACTGAGGAGGTAAAGATGTTGGAAGCCATGGTTCTGAGGAAGTGATGTCCATCTTAGATGAAGAAATGACGCTCAACCCTGCAGTGCTGCTCTCCTCACACAGCCAGGTCATGGTTGGGCTGCAGGCCTGAGAACGGACCTCTGGTTTCTTTTCTGCTGCAGGAACAACAATGGGGCTGGTGTGAGTGGCGGGGGCAGCAGCAGCAGCAGACACGGAGGGGACTGGAGACTCCTCTTGAGGTAAGTGAAGGAACAAGTGATGATGAGGGAGGGAGGCGTGTCCACTGCACCTGCAGCTGCTGCCCAAACTGTGGCAAGAATGTGAGATTGGCAGCACGGCGCCTCCACTGCACAGCCTCTCAAAGGTGGAAGAGCGTGGCACAGCGGGGGTGCCTCGGATGTGCTGGTCCCGCTGGGGCAGCTGCTCTGACAGGAGTGCTGCCTCCAGGAGCAGGTGGGTCTGTCCTGCTGGGCGAGCTCCCCCGCTGAACTCAGGGCTGCGCTCCAGCTGCAGGGCCTCGCTGCTGCGTCGGGTGAAGGTGGTGCCGCGGCTCAGAGTGCTGGCTGGGGAACATCCACAGGAGCGAGACTTTTCCCCTGCCCGCACTCCCTGCAACCCTAAGTATGGCTTGTGGTCATGAGATTCCTGCTCATGGATGCTCAGATTGGACTTGACTGACTCAACTACCTCATGGAGTTGCTGGATCTCTTTGCGAGCCTCTTTCAGGGCCAGCTGGGCTTCCACTCTGTGGCATTCTCCCTCAATCCAGTCTTCCTGCATCTTGTACAGCTGAGTCCTCAGCTCCTCTATCTCACAATCCCTGGATGTACACAAAAACAACCAGACAGCAAACTCATCTGCAGTTATCTTCAGGTTTGTTACAACAACATGTGAGGAGGCTGCACACAGCAAGTGTAGAAGAAGTCACCTGTGTTGTAGTCTCTCCACGTTTTCCCTCAGTCTGGATCGCAGGTGGCGTATACACACCTCCTTCTGCTGCAGTGGTGTAAGGTACTGCTCCGGGGTGGGGGGCTTGATCCCATGGTTGTCGCTGCAGAATGTGTGCTTTAGCTGGCGTCTGATTCAAAATGAAAGCAAGCAAAGACTGTTTACAAAAACAAACATTTAAATACCGTAGGGCTCTGAGGTGTGACAATAGGCAGCATTCGCTGGGGTGAAAGTGTCTCAAAACGTTCCCAGCTTTCCTCACGAGCTGCAGCGCTGTGCCTTTGTGGCACAGAAATTCTGAATGGAATTACAAGACAAGTTTTTTATTTTCTTGTTGTTAGCATGTGAATCCGGTCTAGAGCAGTTTTGCTCCAATTATTCAGAAAATGTCAAATAATTTTGTGAGGAGTTAGAGCTTAAAACCCGAACTGGAGTCGGTCAGATTCCCTGGATTTGTTGGGTCGACCGGCGAGAACTTGTGTCCCTTTTGCTCTTTAGTGAGTCAGTGAAGGCCTGTGTTCGGATTTAGAATTAAAATAAAACAAAAAAGAAAAAATTTAGTCCACAAATGTTTCTGACCTTTGTTTAATTTTTATCTACCAGCATGCGTTGTTAGGGCAGCACAAAATCATTCCAAAGTTGGCAGACAAACCCGAATCACACTTTGGACACCCCTGGTGTAAAGAGTAGGCAGTGCGATGGAGACATACCGGGGGGTGTTTGGATGTGTGCGGGGTGTGGGGCTCCCCTCCGAGGGCTTTAACCGAACGGGGAAGGTATGAGTACTGGATGAGTCACTGTGGGAGCATCGCCCACCACCACCCCCAGCTCCCACTGAGCGCCTGGTGTAGAGATCAGATCATTACACAATCATCTGATGAATATTTAAAAAAGGAGACTCTTTGGGTTTGAACAGAAAGACGATTGGGTACCTGCGCTGACTCGAGGAGGGTTTTCGACTCGGGGTGAGAGACATGGATGTGATGAGTGATGTCCAGCGTCTCCACTGCTGTTTTTAATGGGGGTCTCTGGAAGCCCACACAGCTAGGCTGTAATAAAAGGTAAGAAATTAAAAAACTGTTACAAATCTTAAGTGGTACAAAAGAGAATCAAATCAAATCAATCAAATCAAAGATACTTTATTGATCCCAGAGGAAATTAGAGTTTCAGTACACACAATTCAGAGATCATACATACACGGGCAAGACACATGACAAGAATTGGTGACTGTGGCCATTCGCAACCCTGAGTCGCGCTACCTTAATAGAGATAAGAGGGGTTTACATGAGGATTGGTTCAGGTGGAGGAAAAAAAAGGCACTTCAGAGTTACCCTCCACCGGGAGGGCAGCTTTGCTCTGCAAAAAAAAAAAGCACCTCAAACATACTGTCTATGCAACAGACTTCAGACAACACAACATAAGTGTCCACTAGGTGGGGTGGTGGGTTGGGACTATCCCCACTTCAGTTCCTGCAGCCACTACAAGCAGCGCATGTCACCTCAGTGTGGATAGGGGAGGAGCATTGAGGATTGGAGGGTTGCAGTGACCCTGGAACATTTCAGCGGCCTTCCCGCAGTCCCGCCCAGGCTGGGAAAGGAGACAGAGTTGAGTTGCCATAGCAACGGCACATTCCACATATCTTCTGAGGGGGGAGTTTTCGATGGAGCCTTGCAGGCTCAAGGGCGCCAGATTCCGATTAGAAATTGTTTTGGGGCCAGACTGAGATAATTTCCTCTCTGTCTTACAGTTTGTTTGTTGGTCCTCAACCTCTCAAAATCCCAATAATGGAGTCTGTCACGGAGGGGCATCCTAGAGCCCCTTCTCCCGTTCTCATTGTTGAAAAAATTTTATCAATCGCATTGAGAGATCAACTGACGAGATCCATTTTAGTGATTTCAGTTTCCAGTTTCCAGCAAAAATGCAGAAGCAGCCGTGCAGCAGCACACAGAGACAGACAAAGGGCCTTGAGGATAAGCTATGGAGGAGAGGAGGAAAAAAGCGCCTGCACTCTCCAAGAGCCGGAAGAAGGAGGCATCAATCTGCTTCCTGATTATTTTACTCTAATCAACACAGACGCTATTGATCAAGAGAATTTTGAAGTAATTTGTAATAAAACAGTTTCTACCTTTTCAAGACGGCTGTAAACTCAAATTCATCCTTTGAAGGAACTATGTTGTTGATCGTCTGTTGGCAACTTTTTATAACCGAGCATCATCTGCTCAGAAATAACGGAGTTAAGGAATAACAGCTATCATCCTGTTCTGTCTGTACTGGAGCCCAGTAACAGATGTCTAGCCCTCATCTGGGCCAGCAACAGATACGTCTTCTCTGCTGAACACAAAGAGGACACAGTCAGTGCAGAGTTCACCGTCAGTCCAGCTGCCTCTGTCTCCCCCACCCTGCTCTGCAGAGCTGAAAATAAACACCACAGTTCCTATGGAGCGCTGTAATTAGACCATAAGGGACCATTACAAAACCAACGCAGGCATCAATCTGCTTCCTGATTATTTTACTCTAATCAACACAGAAGCTATTGATCAAGAGAATTTTGAAGTAATTTGTAATAAAACAGTTTCTACCTTTTCAAAACGGTTGTAAACTCAAATTCATCCTTTGAAGGAACCATGTTGTTGATCGTCTGTTGGCAAGTTTTTATAACCGAGCATCATCTGCTCAGAAATAACGGAGTTAAAGCTGGTTTGGTTACATTTTAAAAGTAACACTCTGCATATTCTCATGCAACACACCAAGATCTCACACCATCTGTCAGAATTTAGAGCTTGTGTTGTGAATGTCTCTCAGTTATTAACACATCGATTTGAACACTTTTAACACTTATCAGATTGTCTGAGTTCCTGTGTTGCTTAGATTAGCTTTGGAGGCCATCTGAATTTGATATTCAGTCGTAAACTTCCCTGCACGTTCACTCATAGTGCGGTATTTCACAAGTACATTTGTTGCCACTTTATCTGGTACATTTAATCAGTGCCATGTGTGAGCCTTTTGATGTAAAATCCACCTTAGATCTTCAATGACTCAACAAGGAGTTGGAAATGTTGCTCAGAGGTCCATATTTACATGCCAATGTGATGAGAGATTCCTGTTCCACCACATCTCAAAATTTCTGTTCTGGACTGAGATCTGGTCACTGTGGAGGCCTTTAGAGTCCCCTGAACTCATGGTCATAGAGATGGTCTGATCTTTTGAGATGGTGCATTATCTCGCTGAAGGAGCCATCAGAAGATTGATCCAGGTCCAAAAGGGATGGACTACCATGCTCAGGTGGTACTAAGGGGCCAAAGTGGGAACATGACATCTCCCTTAAGGATGGGTCCAAGCTTTCGTGTTGGTGACACGAAATTTTGACCTAACCGTCATGTTGCAGCTGAAATCCAGACTCATGAGACCAGGAAACAAGGTTCTACTCTCTTCTGGTCCAGTTCTGGTGATCGTGTGTGAACTGTAGTCTCCTCAGCTGACAGTAGTGACACTTGGTGTGGTCTTCTGCTACTGGAGACCATCTGGAGCAGATGCTGTGATTCAGAGGTGATGTTCTGCAGCCCATGGGAACCAGAGCTAATCTGAGCTGCTGTTGTCTGGAACCAGTCCACTAACAGGGTCAAAGGTTCAGCAGGTCAAGATCTCTCTGAATTTGACTCTAGCAGCATATCCTAGCTCAGGTTCAGTCCTCTTTATGTAGGCTACTGTCTGAAACATCGACATATAAATATGGTCTGAAACCAGGAGGCAGAACACTGCCCCCTATGGGAGGATGATATTACTTAGATATTCTTCATGGATTAATAAAAGCTATTTTTGACTCTTATCTGAAATCTTATGTAGAACATTACAGGTAATCCATGTTTTATTCATCTGTTCTCTCTGAATTAATGATTATAACTTATAAACTTTAGGGTAATCTGCACTCAGTCTCACATGTATTAGTGCCACATTGTTGCTGAAATTCTGAATGTAGCTGAAAAACATCTGATAAGCCACCTCTTGTTTGGTTATCTAACAGGATAAACCCAAGATAAGGATAAGATGTTCTCCTCTGTCCCACAAGCTGATTTAAATCTGACATTAATATAAAAGATAAAATCGTCTCATCTTTTCTAGGACAAGCAGGAAACTTCACCTCCCCCCGTCTGCGCAACAGGTGGTAGGTGAGAAACAGCCTACGCAATCATCTTACGTAAGTGTGAGTGTCAGTGTTTTCTGTGGAGGCGACACCATCAGCAGCGGCAAATAAGACTGGACTGAGGTCAGCAGGAAGCTGCGCGGCTCGGATGGATTAAAATCACACGATTGTCATCACATGCCCCGGTACCGGTCCGAACAGGACGTTCAACACAAACACTTCTGTCTAAACTGCGTCCTATATACAGACTGCATCTCAACTCGAATCCTGTATGTCCCACATCCAAACACACACGCGCGCGCACATGCACTACAACCTGCCCACACAACGGTACCGGTTCGGCAGGTGGAAGCTGAGCAAAGGAGAGCCTCGGTTCCGGCCCGACTTCACGGTCCCTGGCTGCAGCAGGAAGCAGAGATGCTGTTGGTGCTGATGAGAGTCCATCCTGCAGCCATGAAGCCCCGAGATGAACTAACGCTCGTGCGTCTGCTGCATTGCTGCTGCTTCTTCTTAAAGCGACAGCGGGGACAGATGATCTGCAGGGACAGAGACAGACAGCGGGGACAGATGATCTGCAGGGACAGAGTCAGACAGCGGGGACAGATGATCTGCAGGGACAGAGTCAGACAGCGGGGACAGATGATCTGCAGGGACAGAGTCAGACAGCGGGGACAGATGATCTGCAGGGACAGATTCAGACAGCGGGGACAGATGATCTGCAGGGACAGAGACAGACAGCGGGGACAGATGATCTGCAGGGACAGAGTCAGACAGCGGGGACAGATGATCTGCAGGGACAGAGTCAGACAGCGGGGACAGATGATCTGCAGGGACAGAGACAGACAGCGGGGACAGATGATCTGCAGGGACAGAGACAGACAGCGGGGACAGATGATCTGCAGGGACAGAGACAGACAGCGGGGACAGATGATCTGCAGGGACAGAGTCAGACAGCGGGGACAGATGATCTGCAGGGACAGAGACAGACAGCGGGGACAGATGATCTGCAGGGACAGAGACAGACAGCGGGGACAGATGATCTGCAGGGACAGAGACAGACAGCGGGGACAGATGATCTGCAGGGACAGAGACAGACAGCGGGGACAGATGATCTGCAGGGACAGAGTCAGACAGCGGGGACAGATGATCTGCAGGGACAGAGTCAGACAGCGGGGACAGATGATCTGCAGGGACAGAGTCAGACAGCGGGGACAGATGATCTGCAGGGACAGAGTCAGACAGCGGGGACAGATGATCTGCAGGGACAGAGTCAGACAGCGGGGACAGATGATCTGCAGGGACAGAGTCAGACAGCGGGGACAGATGATCTGCAGGGACAGAGTCAGACAGCGGGGACTGATGATCTGCAGGGACAGAGACAGACAGCGGGGACAGATGATCTGCAGGGACAGAGTCAGACAGCGGGGACAGATGATCTGCAGGGACAGAGTCAGACAGCGGGGACTGATGATCTGCAGGGACTGATGACAAAGCCTCATCTGCAGAAATGATGTCTGACAGCAGGACAGAAGTTCAGAAATCCCCTTAATCCGATGAAAGCACCTGTGTTTGTAGGTTTAATCTGTAAAACGTTATTTAATTATAAAAAGGTGAATTATTTTAATACGACCAAGTATTACAAAATAAAATGTGATAAAATCCTGAGAAAAGCACAAGAATCTCACCGGAAAGCGGGAAGATGTTAAATGGTGAGCTTTTAGTTTAGTAAAACATTTACATGCACTTGTTAGGCCAGGTGAAAACTACCTATCCTAATAAGCCACAAAATGGCAAACTTTAGTTTAATTACATAAACCAAACATCAAGAAAGAAACAAGAGGGAATCGTTTCACACCAAAGCCAGTTTATTGTAACTGTGTATGTAAAAGCTTGTGTTAATCTGTGTTGTTCCTCAGATGAAGTCAAGTGGAGGTTTGAGGACGGACCTCCTGGGACGGAGCCGCTTAAGTATTTAGAACAAATAACAAACATGTAAAAACAGCTTGCAGGAACGTTAGGACTAACAGCAGCTACAGCACACCACGACCTGTCGTATAAATATAAATACACTCAAGGATAGCGTTTATTAAAATATTACGTTTATAAATATTACTCAGGATTTTTTTTATGTTGACATTTTCAGGAATAAAATGAATCTGTTTAGCTGTCTCTTAAAGTGAAAAAGCAGTGAACTGAAAACTTTCAATACAAAAAGACTGAATGGAGTTTTCTGCACATTAAACTCAGAAGTGCGGTCCCTCTGCACGAGACAGGCCCACCAGAACCGTGTAAAAATTACTGATAGAATCTGGGTCCTGGTGTCACACTGATGTCCTGATACGGAGCGCTCTGGTGCAGCTGGATGGCTTGTTGTTTAGTCAGAACCAGGAAGCAGAAGAAGGTATTTGCAGCCTGTGAGCGGTTGTTTCCTTCACAGAAAGCCTGCACGCTGAATATGGGGTCTCTGCTGCTCTGCCCCTGCTGCAGATACAAACACATATCTATTAAAAGCATGTGTTTTATTGGCAACTAAAGCAACAAAACTCTTCAAACTAATCAAAGACAGAACTAAGCCACAGCTTGTGTGACTCTGCGTTTATTTAAGGAAACATACTTTTAAAGCTCTCAGAAGCTTCAGCACTCTCCTGGTGCTCCTCTTCTCCTCTAAGTCCTGGCTGTCCAGCAGAGACTGCAGGTTGGAAAAGCACCATGGTGTAATCAGTGATGCTGAGCCTGGAGCCAGGGCACTTGCCATCTGTTAGCTGCCTCAGTGTGACAGCTATTTATAGACAGCCGTGCTCTAATAGTTCTCCTCTAAAGCTGAGATGAGTCCAGAGGAAATTGAGGGCCAACAGCAGTACCTGAGTGTGGAGGGAAGCCGAGTCAAGTTCCATGTGGGATGGATGGACAAACATGGAGTCCTCTGATAGGAGCTCAGGATACCCGGTCTCTGAGTTGTTCTCATCCTGAAAGCACACAGACAACAAAGTTACTTTACTTGACACATTCCCACCGGGCACCCTTAGCCTTACCTGTTGGATCTCTGAATTAGTTTCCTGGTTGTCATTCACGTGATCGAGGGCCGTCAGCTCGGTGCAGTGTGTTTCCTCAGCATCGGCCAGAGAGTGTGTGACACTGATGTTGCCTGTGATGACGTCCCTCTGACCTTTATAGGAGGAGACTCACAAAAAATGCTAACTGTGAGATCTTCAAATGATTCTTCTCTCACCTTGATCAGGTTTTTACCTTCTTGTCCATCTTGACGCATTTCCTCAACCTCCTCTGTCACACTGAAATGTCTGAGCTTAAAGACGCTTGTGGCAAACAGCTGCACAGGAAAAAAGTACTTATTCACACAGCAGATATGGGGATAATATCCAGTTTTATAGTGTTTATTAGCAAAATACATTTAAAGTGTTAAAAATAAAAAAGTTTGTTTATCAGATTTAAAAACAACTGACCAGTGAAACACGTTAAACATTTATGAAAACAATATAAAGCATTTGTAAAAATTAAACTATTATAAATTCATTCTAATCCGAAGCTCTACTTGAATCCATCACTGATTAATAAAAAACAACATTTGAGGTTGAAGCTATTATTTCTATTGCGGTTTCTCAGTGAACTTAGTCTTTAAAGATGACGAGGCCAGAGCTTTAATACTTTCACACCTGAAGTCTGGTTTCTCTGGTCTGAATTAGTACACGAGTTCATTCATTTGTGGTTTATGCGATGGATGGAATCAGCAATGAAAAACACCTTCCAGCAGTACAATTCAGGAGAGTGGTCAGTCCGCTGATTGGTCTGACTGCGTGGAGGCGGGGCTACCACAGGTAAACAAAGGAAGACGATGCTAAGTTCTGACTCTGAGCTAGTGGACAACATGCTCGAACCCCTTCTCCGCTGAAATATTTGAACCTTTCAGTGTTGATGATGGTCACGTGTTAACATGTGACCATCTATGGTCACATGTGACCATCTAATGCACACAATGATCAGAAAGTGTGCATTAAGACATGCAGCACAAAGACTCACAGCAGAACTTTACCTCCTTTATTTGTGGATTCACCGGAGTGGAACCCGGCTGTGAAAAGAGTCTGTCAGCTCCTCCTCCCTCCAAACACTGCATGATCTTTTCTGTGGGTGGGGCCATGTCAAACTGACCAATCAGTTCTGAATAATCAGAGAGCTGATCTCTGATGGACCCACTGCTCAGCTCTTTGGTCTGGTCTACCACCAGCTTACGCTTTCTCTTCCCCTTCTTCCTGTCAGAGTTTGCTGTAAACAAACACCAGAAACCAAACAACGAGGGTTATCTGGAGCAGGATCTCTCTCTCCTGGGCCAAATGTGACACGAGGGAATTGGATAGTCCCAGTGCAAAGCTGATTGAGCCTACGAGTGATGGCCACGGGCTCCAGAACAAAAGCCGTCTCCACACCGGAGAGCAGGGGGGTCTTCAGAGCGGGGGCATTGACCTCCATAGGATCTACCATAACTTTTGGAAAAACATGAAATACAATCAAAACACTCATGAAAAACAAGCAAGTAAGAGATCAGGAAAAGTGCTGTTAATTACCATCAGCTCTTTCATGTTGAGGATCATTTGGTGTGGAGCTCTCTTGGTTCTCGTCAAGTGGCTCATCCAGGATGCTGTTTAGGAGCCCAAAACGATCGCTGCCATCTGTCAGGAAGTCTATAGAATCATTAAAAATCACAAAGTGGTCAGTAATCTCTACATTAGACCAACAATAATAAAAAAATAAGGTAAAACAAAGGAAAGTGTCACATCATCAGATACCAGTGTTGCCCTTAGACTGCAGTCAGCTTCAAACATGTTTGTGTGATTTTTCATTTAACTAAATCTAAAGTTTTAGTTTATAAAATAAAAAAAATCGTGCTTCACCAAACAAATCTGCTTTATCTAGTTCAGTCCAAGACATGCTCAGAGAAAAGCACGACAAAAAATAATTCTCATCAATTCACAGAAAGTACCAAGAAAGTCGAGTCCACGATCCTCATCCCCAAATGTGTCACCGTGTTGGGTGAGGCTGTCCAAGGTTCTGTCCAGCAGCGAGACTGACTGGCTCGGGGTCTTATCTGCTCATGAGACAAAAGTAAGAGGGAGTGGAGAAGGAAAATCAACACTGCTGGAATAAAGGAAAGCTGCTTACCAAGTAAAAAGATTAGATTAAAAAGTGGTATTGCATTAATAATCAGGTTGTTACCGATTTTAACGATCAAAAAGTCATTTCTGAAATCCTCCTTCAGGGTGATCTCCTCTGGTCGACACTGGTTCAGTAACGCGTCGCCCACAACATCCATGTCACTGGAGTTCCAGGACGAGGGAAGGGAACAGAGGAGTGATTTACTGGATTTATTGGTAAACCGCTTTTATCATTACTAATATTAGGTTGTGGACTTTAAACAATTTCATCTCCTGACAAAAAGGTACCTGGAGAGTGGGAGCTGAGTATCAAATGCAGTAAAGTCTTCAACCAAAGTAATTGCTTTTAGTTTGGCCTCCAGCCCTTCCTCAGGCAAGTCCGTTTGACCTGGGGTATTTAATTACATCCAAAATGTTCAAACATACGTCCAAACTAAATATGAAATCAAGCAAGTCATTAAAGAAAAGAAGAACAAAATCCCAGCAGGTAGCAAAGAATAACATATAACAATAAGCTTCAATTTCCTTGGGTTTGAAATGATGGAGTAGATTTTATTTTATTTTGTTTTTACTTCAGGACGTAACACAGTCATTCCAGCTCTCTGGTGGTACTTTTATTTAGAAGAAATAAGTATTTTGGGTTGCAAGGAGGTGCAGCATTGTTGCCCTGCAGAAAGTTGCAGGTTCAAATCCCAACTACTGCCATTCTGCATGGAGTTAGCATGTTCTCACCACACATGCCTGGGTTTTCTCTGTGTGTTCTGGTTTCCTCCCACAGACCAAAATATGATTGTTGAGTTAACTGGAGACTCAAGTTGTCCCTATGGCAGGGGGAGACCGTATGTCTCTTTATGTCCCTGTGATGGACAGGTAATCTGCCCAGCTTATTCCTTCCTTCCTTCCTTCCTTCCATCCATCCATCCATCCATCCATCCATCCATCCATCCATCCATCCATCCATCCATCCATCCATCCATCCATCCATCCATCCATCCATCCATCCATCCATCCATCCATCCATCCATCCATCCATCCATCCATCCATCCATCCATCCATCCATCCATCCATCCATCCATCCATCCATCCATCCATCCATCCATCCATCCATCCATCCATCCATCCATCCATCCATCCATCCATCCATCCATCCATCCATCCATCCATCCATCCATCCATCCATCCATCCATCCATCCATCCATCCATCCATCCATCCATCCATCCATCCATCCATCCATCCATCCATCCATCCATCCATCCATCCATCCATCCATCCATCCATCCATCCATCCATCCATCCATCCATCCATCCATCCATCCATCCATCCATCCATCCATCCATCCATCCATCCATCCATCCATCCATCCATCCATCCATCCATCCATCCATCCATCCATCCATCCATCCATCCATCCATCCAAAGGAGGCTTTTGTTAATACTGTTTTTAAAGGCTGCTGAGTTATTTTATTGTTTGTTGCATCAAAAAAGTTAACACCTGATGTGTTCTCAAAGATTAAACAAAACCTCAAATCATTTCCGACACATAAAAATATTATTAAAGGTTTTGCTTCATTTGCTACTTACTTGTGTGCATTTAGTTTTGTGTTGATTATAGTTATCATTAAATGTTCTATTTAAGTTTACAAACACGTAAACAACATTAAAAAATCTCTGCAAATTGGTTTATTTTGGTTGTAAAAAGCTGTAAAACTGGTCTCGTTTTTAAAAATAAAGTACACAACTACATTACATGGATATCCAAAGGAACTAACAATTGTGGATTTAGCTATGATAAAATAGATGTATTTAACACTTGAACATAAATCACAAACTGTGTTTTGGTAAAGAATGAATAAATCCAGGTTTGACCCGTTTTGAATGGGAGATAGAAGATGGTCAAAAGGGTAAAAGCTCAGTGGAATTGCTCTTTAGTCAAATGTTAACTCTGAAACTGACTTCAGCATTTTATTTAGCCTAAATTAAACCTTACCTGGCCTGAATGCCATTTTAATTTTAACGTGGGCATCGCTGCAGTCTTCATAAAGATACTTTGTCTTCTTGGAGTAGATTCTGACCACACCAATCAGCAGATGACCAAACGTCCTCAAACCTGTTTTCATCTATTAAACAAACAAAACAAAACAAAGCCCACATTCACCATTTATGAAACGGCTCACACATACTAACTCGGATTTCTTATTTAATAAATACGTGACTTTAAATTATAGTTTTCATAAGCATTTACCTTTGGAAACATGATGTCTTTGACATTTCTGATGGTTGTTTCCAAGTTGCATTCAAACACATGAGCCTTGGTGAGTTTCCGCTCCCAGTGTGCTGCCAACCAGATTTTAGACAAGGGTCCTCGGTTGGATGTGAAGAGTTGAGTGTAGAACACCATTTTCACAAGATTCGTCCCACCTTTGACACAGAAAAATCAGTAATGGTCATGACACCTCGAGCTTACAGAGACCTTTAGCATCGTTACCACTAGCTTGCTAGCTACATGTCCGTGGATTTACTGAGAAAAAGTCAGTAGCATTCGGTATGTTTAATCATTAAAACAAAACTCTACCTGTTAGTAATAGGTCGAAATCTATGTGGATGCCCAGAAAAGAAGAAAATAGTTAAATGTCCCGCCTTTCAACACAAATGTCGCGAGCACCGGTCGCGAGCCGTACGCGGTTACCAAGCAACCACGTCCAGAGCGCGAGACTGTCTGAAAGTGCGGGTGTGAGACCAAAAGATAGTTTATCATAAATACCTAAAAGAAATGTTTTTTTTAGTAGTCCAATGTGATATATATGCATTTTTATCTTTTAAAAAGATGGATGATAGATAAAAATGTTGGGGTGTAGTTTTGTTTAGAAAACATGGTTACACGCAGCACTGTGCCCTGTGAATTTTGAATTTGTTATTTTTGAATAAGTTTCCTTCACTGTTTTTCAGGGATTTTGAGAGTGCTAGCCTGTTTTCAGTATAATACCTGCTATTAACTTAAATACCTCAATAATTTAAAGACTGCTAAAATCAAGAAATAAACCGGTTTCTGCAACAGGCCTAACGAGTATTACTACTTAGAAAACTATATATTTATTTTGAATTTTTATTCTAAAAGTGCTGCATATTTAAGGCAATAATACCACAGATAACAGAATGATGTGTTTTCTTTTTATTAGTTTCAACTAGAAATTTAAAATGACTTCAGTGAGGTGAACGTGTCCTTGTCAGTGGTTCTGGCTTCTGCTGGTGTGGGTTGAAGGTTCCAGCTCTGGATTACTTCATATTTGCCCTTTCATCATTATTCCAGAGTTTTTCATATTTCTGTGTTAAAAAATGTAAAACAATTGGACCAGAGAATACATTTTACTAAAGGCCTTTATACACTCAGATGCTGCAGGAAAAATGCACTGCAAAACAGACAAAATAATTTAAATGATTTTCTTAAAAAGACAAGAGACCACACAATCTCAGGAATGATTTGAAAACAATTTAATACAATTAAAGAATCAACTTCCTGACACGGTTTTGCTTTTCATGCTCCTCATATTCATCTCATCACCCCACAAGGACTGCAGAACCACATGGGCACACAAACCCCCTCAGCATGTCATGTCATGTCATGAGGTGAGGTGAGGTGAGGTGAGGGTGGAGATGGCAGACCATGTGTGGTGGAGGGTTCAGGAGGCAGAAGAGCAGGTGCGGAAGAAAAAAATAAAAAAGGGTTTATTGGTGGCAGCACAAGCACGAACACACAAAGACAACGCAATGATCTGACAACGACAAGAACAAAGAGGGAGGTATAAATACACAGAACAATCAGGGAACACATGGGCAGGTTGACGAGGGGCAGGTGAGAACAATAAGGCTAATTACGGAAGGAGCAACACAGTCAGGGAGGCCGGGGCGAATCATGACACATCAAGGTGCTGATTCTTTGGGTGGTATAGTGCACAGATTTAAAAGAAAAAAACATGCTCAGACGACTGTCAAACTTTCATTTGTATTCAGTACAATTATTACATTTCATCAGACATTTGTGTCACAAGAGTTCACTTGAAAGCCAGATGTTTCATCTCAAGTGGTTTTCATCATCCAAAAACATCAGAATAAAGGACTCAGTCCAACATTCTGTCCCTCGGTCTTACCTGTCCTCATGTGTCTCTCTGTTCTGGCATTGAAACTCGTTCATATTGTCTAAATCTTGGATGTGCACAAGAATGCTGCATCTTTGTCTTCCATGGTGTCTCCTTTTTCTACTGATCCTCTCATTTGTGATCACCTCAGTAAAAATGAAAAGTAAATGAAACGCTGTGATTAGTCTGATGCTAAACAACACATGTGAGCTACCAGAGCTAACCTTATTTATGTTTGAATCAGAGGATTAAATCAAGTCAGAACTCACCTTGTTTTAGTTCAAGGCCAGCCAGTTCTCCATCAGCACCAGAGTTCTTTTCCTTCTTGGTTCCTTCATGACCATAAAGCCCAGACATACTTAGTCCAGCAGGACCTGAAAGACACAAACCAAGATGAACTCAGGCCTGGATCAGGACAAGAGTCCCGCCTATACCTGGAAACAAACAGCCTAGAAACAACTTTTCTACAAGAGTTTTTGTCAGACCAGAACTGAACAAAGTTCCCTAAAGCTACGTCTTCTTTGGTTTGACTTGTTTTTCTTAAAAAGGTCTCACCATCTGCATCATTTTACAGTAAAATGTTTTTCCACGTGTTGTTCTGTTTGTGGTCACTAGAGGGCAGCCTGGCACAAACAAGATGCAACCTGAGCTACCTTTGGGTTTCATCTGGTTGTAATAAAGTGTTTTCTGTTATATTCAAGGGGGTTCGCTTTTCTTTGCTGTTTTTAACAGATAAGTAGGAAAAAGCTCCAGCAAAGGCCCTGATTCCTGCTCTCTTTTTATTTGATTTAGCAGAATCAGAAGTGCATTTGTGCCTTCAAGCAAACGTGTATCTCAGCAAATAAGTAAAAGTATAGAACAATTAGGATGAGGAGATAAAAAATTCTCTATTTAAAATATTTTATAATGATGGAACTTTTATGAGCGTTGAAGGGGTGATTGTATGATTAATTCATCAGATAAAGTTTTTCTTTATAGGCTTTGTTATGATCTGCGTCTGCCCCTTCCCTCATGTGTTCTCCATCCATCTCTAGGTTCTCCTGTTGTGTATCCTAGTGCCCTCTTGTGTCATTGTCTACGCCTTCCTCATGTGTTCCCAGAGCTGCAGCCCCTCTAGTTTTCCTCCCCCCCCCCCAGGTATTTCCCTCCAGGTCCTGTGCTCCCCGTGGTCACACCCCTGTGGTGTCTCTTTCTGTAGTGATTTCCTTTAGTTTCAGCTGTTCATATATTAGTCTCTTTTGGTGTGTTTCTCTCCCCAGATTATTAGTTAGTTATTTGGCTCTTTTTGTTTTTAGGTTCTGTCTTTAGATCATGTTATTTTTCTTCCTCCTCAACTCACTGCCCTCTCCCTGATTAGTAATTTAGTTCACCTGTTCTCTCTCTCCCCACACACCTGCAGTTCATCTCCCTCTCATCCTCCCCAGTGTATATAACCCGTCTGTGTCTCTGTATGTTTGTCGGTCCATTGTTTTTCTGTCAGTCTCGTCTCATGTTTAATCTCTAGTGTTTTTCTTGGATCTCCAGTTTGGTTTTTGAATATTTTTGGATTTTGGCTTCCAGCCCATTGGATTAATTTTTGTTTTGTTCATCCTAAATAAAAGGATTTTACTTTATCTCCACTCCTGCCTCTTGTCGTCCTGGGTTCTGCATTTTGGGTCCTAACCTCCTCCTGGCTCGTATCGTGACAGGCTTTGCCATGATGAACATGACACAGCCGTCTCTAGCTCGTCTGTTCTGAGACGAACATGGTTTCTGTAAACGTCACTGCTTCTGGTGAGGTCGTGACTTGGCGAGACTTCAGATTAAAATGTTTAAAGAAAAAACCAACAATTGAATATTTTCATGACTTTATTGAACAAGACTCCTGGGAATTTAGTTTTGGTCATGTTAAGTGTTCTTATTCACCTATAGGTATATGTCGAAGTTATTCACATGCACATGAAGCCACACAGCACATTAACGGGAGCAGGATTATTCGACAACATTCATGAGTTTAGTAGAAAACTCATTTACTGATTCACATTCAGAACCACATAGGGTTGTTGCTGCAACTGAAAATCATCAAGGAGTTTTAGCTAGCAGGAAGATTGGATGAAAAGAAATCAAAAGTAGCTACAGAATAATGTTCCCGTGAGATCTGAGTCAGTAGCTTCAGTTAAAAACATTTAGCACTTCACTGAGTTAAATATTTTTTTATTTGAGAAATCCTGCTTTAGCTTTATGGATTATCATGCTAATCCTTTAATGTATATGTTTTTGTTTTTATTTTGTATATATTTTAATATGTAAACATACAGTAGAGCATCTTTTGGTTCTAGGTTCTGGATTGGGTGTTGTTTGTTTTACTGAGTGCATGCTTTTCGTAAAAATTAATGACTAATAAATTAAGGCAGTTTGAACAGAGCAGTCATTAAAGATGTGGGAAACTCATTTAGTCAATACATTTGCAGTAGAAATGAATGCCTTGCAACTCGTACTTGGAGGAATAAAATCTCAGTTGCACCCGAATCAGGAAGTACAAGTCAGCCAGGGGAGAAAGCAGCTTCACGTCAGGTTTTAGACTTTTATTTCCTGATATTTTGACATCTTTCCTTAGATTGGATATCAGCAACATGACTCTACCTCTGACTTGCTATGTGGATGTTTTATCTTCACAAATAACACAAGCCTGGGGGAGTTTTTCTGTGGTGGAGTTGCTAATGCTAACAGTTAGCATTCACTTTGCTGTTTTCTGGGTGCTAAACCAACAACAGCCTTCCCCATCACGAGTAAAGATGTGCGAGCCCATGCGTGACAGCGTGACGTAGATCTGCCAGGATTCTCAAATCCTAGAGTTTCACCAACTATTTTCCATCAGAAGGTAATGCAGGAGATAGGTGTGTAAGACTATTTTCATGTTCTGCCTGCATGAAAAAAACAGTGACTGATTATAATCAGAAACAATCATTAAAAATGGTTTTTCAGTGAACTACACCTTCAAAGAAAGAAATACATACCCCACACAAGCTAATCGAAACCAAATGGATCCTCTTTACATCGTCCAGCTGAGTCTCTTAGTATAGCAAGTTCTTCATTAATTCTTTCTATTTATCATCAAATGCTCATCCCATATAGCTGACGCTGAAGTGATTATTATATATAGTATTTTGGATCAGTTTCACGCCAGCCGCCAGACTGAGATTGTGTCTCTGTTATAACAAGTCCCAGTGGTGATCAGGAAGCATTCCTACAGGCACCGCTGAGTCCTGCAGGGCAAAGTGTTACACAGTTACTGCAGTGACACAAGTGCTTTGGGTATGTGATAAGGATCATGTCTTTGCAAACCTTCACAGAAATTCTGTTTACTTTTCCATAATTTCCTTTTCTTTCACCAGTGAAATGTTTAACGTCGTTGTTCAGACTAACTCTGACACAGCCAAGGTGTTTGGACTTCTTCCTCTTCTATTTTAGAGGCTAATTGAATTAAAAAAAGCTCATGCAGAAATTAATGTTGTAAATGTTCTCAGGTGAAGGCAAAGCATTGCAGATTGTCTTGAATCACAGATTTTTTACAGTGAAAGGGTCATTTTAGATTCTCAGAAAAGATTCCAGATGGTTGGTGCAGCCATGTGGTGTTGCCATGGTGTCTGAGTGAATCACACTTTCTCTGTCTCTTTCACTTTGTGTCCTGTTTTGTTTTACAGAATGCTCCGTTAGAGGAAATTCAGTTGTGGATTGGCTGAGAGTGGGCTAACTGTCACCTCTGTGCTTGTGGATCCTGTCAGGATGCACGCTGTCTTTTGGGGTTCAGGAACTTGACACAGAGCCGTGTTCTCGGCGCAGTTCAGAAATGCTCCGTAGTTCTCCTGCTGACCATTTGAGAATCTCGTGGAGGCATCAGTGTCCTTATTGCGTTGTGAGTTGAGGCCAAAATGCTCTTGCAGCTGAGGACTACCTCTGTAAATCCTCTGTCGCAACATAGTTGTGTCCTTGTATAAACACTCACGAAAGTTGGGTTTGCACAGCAGAAAAACCATTGGGTTGTAGAGTGTAGAAGACTTGGCAAAGATGGCGGCAAGGGCAAATGCAGCAGGAGGGACCCGTGTAGCATCTCCTAAAGCAGCCCAAATGGCCACGGCAGCATAAGGGGTCCAGGCACCAAGGAAACCTATACACACTGCGATTGACATCTGTGGAGAAGAAGCAGAAATCTCAACACGTGGAAATAAAGGCAGAACAGTCCTAGAAGTAACTTGCATGTTAATTTCTGCCTTCCATACCAGAGTTTTAAACTAAGATGTTGAAAAATAATAAATGACCCACACTTGAATAGCACCTTTTTGAGTCAGATGACTCCAAAGCTCTTTACACTAAAGCGAATCATTCATCCATTCACATGCTGATGGTGCTGCGCTACTCTGTAGCCACAGCTATGGCACAGTGGTGGAGAGGAGGCTGCTCAACACTGGCTCCACCGGTCCCTCTGACCACCACCAACTGTCCGGTGGGGTGACGTGCCTTGCCCAAAAACACAACAGCAGAATTTCCTGCAAAGAGCTGGGATCGATCTGGCAACCCTCCGTCTACTGAGCAACCCGTTCTGCCTCTTGACCTACTTTTGCCCTTACAACAATGGATTTAAGGGTGTTATAAAGTAAAGCTAATGGAAACATTCAGTTACAGCATTCAGAAAAACCTCCAGCTGCCAGCTTGAAAGTTGAGCTGTTAATAAAAATTGTGAAATGTAGGATTTTTCATTAGCTGTGGCCAGATTTTCAGGTGTAGATTTAAACCAGTTGTTGACTATTTGAGACTTTGACCTTCATTAAAATCGGTTTCTGAGAAACTTTGCCAAAACAGTGACAGAGTTGCCTCAAATTAAACTTAAATCAGATCATATCAAACATACTCCTTTGAAAGGGTTTTTAGACGTCAGCTGAAGACTAATTTTTACCCTCCAGCCTTCAGCTGTTTCTTTTAATGTTATTTTCCTGTTCTTCCTTTTATTGGGGATTACTTTTGATCTGCTTTAACTTTTGTTCGCTCATGTCTCAGTAGAGAACTTCCCTTTGGTCATCCACATGGTTGTGTTTAAATGATGATGATGATGATGATGATGATGATGTATGATTATGACTTAGATTCAGAAGCAAGGTCACCTGGTAAGCCTACATGCCCTCCATCCCCCCGCCTTTATCTTTTACCTGCATCGTCTTAAGTTGTGGCCATTTTTGTGTTTCATTAATGCGGTGGCCATTGCAATTTGGATTCTGCTCAAAAGTGTTATTAAAATGTGTTGAGTGATTCATGGAATATTTTCTAAAAAAAAATAAAATAAATAAAAATAAAAACACACACACGCACACACACACACACACACACACACACATATATATATATATATATATATATATATATATATATATATATATGTATATATATATATATATATATATATATGTGTGTGTGTGTGTGTGTGTGTGTGTGTGTGTGTGTGTATATAAAGCAAATCACTCTTTTGCTTTAGGTGATAGAAACATTCAGCTTGATCTCATTTCCTAAAGTAAGTGGTGTGAATTTCTCTTAGATTCCCCTGATAGTGCTGAAAACAGACAAGGGAAGTAATAAGCTATAGGGGTTGTATGAACTAGTCGACTAGTCGACTTCACGGCTCTGTAGTGACTTTTTATGCCCGTCATCGACTATCATGACTGACAAGATGCAGTCCTTGGAAAAACAGCAGGTGATGAGCTCCTGCGCGTCGGGAGGCGGAGGCAACGCGCTGTGCCAGAGCGTCGGTACTGACACCGGCGGTAAAACGGACATTTAACCAAACTGTGACCATTTCCATCTTGCAATTTTACCTTTCCCTCACCCCCATCCTAATCTTAACCAGTTTGCGCATGCAAAGCTCTGATCGTTGACGTGCGCTCCAGACATCTGCGTCCTGAGCACCGCCAAATCAGGTGTCACGACCTCAAAAACAAATTAAACACGCGATCGTTCATGTCGGCTCATTTCCTTTAATGTTTTCTGTCTGTTATTTGTGCCTGATGCGTTTCGCTGCTGTGGAGCGAGGCGCATCACCTGTTTTGTCCTCCGGTGACGTACCCCCAAAATTCCACTATCTCCGCTCCGCTCCACTCCGGCACGAACTCCGCAGCAAAAACGGTCCCATTGTAGTCGGCCGGCGAGCAGCGGCACTCCGCTGTTTTTGCGGTCGGTAGATCTTTTAGAACTGCAGTTCAAAGGTAACTCATAAGGTGAATATATATGAACCCCGGTAGCAGTTTTTCTTTAGGATTGAGAGGAGATGCAGGAAGATAATAAACAGACAGGACAGAAAAATAGTCAAATAAAAACAAGTTTGCTTTTGTACCTGGTGGTTGCAACAAACAGACACCATTGAAGGTAATCAGAAGTGAGGAACAGAAAATGAAATAATTATTTTAAACCTCTGATGCATGAATTATGAAATCTTCAACCATGATTTTTTAAACAATTTTTTTATTCATCTTTAGGTGTGAATGAAACAAAGTTCTTGTAACATTTTGTTAATTTACTAATAATTTATTACATGTCCATCTCAGTGGACAATGTGCATTCTGAACATGAAATATGTTGGCTTGACTTACTGAAGTCCAAATGGAGTGGCTCACATGCAATAAAGTCTTCAACGGCTGTGCTTAATAGCAAAAACAAATAAATAACAATTTTGAGTACCTGTCCACTGTAGTGACCATTATGCATCAAAGGGTTAATGTTTAGAGCAGCAGGAAAGGCTGCAGGCGCATCCGTGCGTTTGCGGCTGCTGCGCAGGGGGAGGGGGGAGAGGGCTGAAGTAGGATGCAGAAACTACAGTTGTTAAAAGAGATGTGTTAACTTAGAAAATGTGGGTGCAATTTTAATTGTCAAAAACTCCAGCGAACCTACCGACCCCCCCACCCCCCATCCTCCGTGCCGCTTTAGGTGTACAACATCATCAACGACTAGTCGAAGTCGACTCGATTTTCATTACTTGACTGTCGACTTAAAAAAAATTAACCCTTTGATGCATAATGGTCACTACAGTGGACAGGTACTTAAAATTGTTATTTATTTATTTTTGCTATGAAGCACAGCTGTTGAAGAATTTATTGCATTTGAACCCCTCCATCTGTACTTCAGTAAGTCAAGCCAACATTTTTCATGTTCAGATTGCACACTGTCCACTGAGGTGGACATGTAATAAATTATTTGTAAGTTAAATTTTACAAAAAATATGTAAATATGAAATTTGTTTAATTCACACCTAAAGATGAATGAAAAAATTGTTTAAAAAATCATGGTCGACGATTTCATAATTCATGCATCAAAGGGTTAAGTCATGCAACCCCTAATAAGCTATTTATGTTAATATGCTTTGAATAATTAATGATCTCACATCCTTTTTCAGAACCTGCTTACTGCAAACCCTGGAATCAGTGCTAGTGACATGAGACCGCCACATCCTCTGACCTTCGCAATGAGAGCGTGTGCGTTGGTGGTCTTGGTCTGTGGTGACACATGCTGCTGAACGGCCTGACGTGACCCCCGCACCGTCAGCAGAATGAACACATAGGAGAAGAAGATGATGGTGCAGGGCAGCGCGTAGCAGAAGACAAAAAGGCAGACAATGTAAGACAAAGCTGAAAGCTGGTGATTGGGTGCATGCCAGTCAATGCAGCAGGCTGTGCCGTAGGGTTCAGCGCTGTAGTGCCCCCACTGAGCCAAAGGTCCCAAGGCAAACACAGAAGCGTAGCACCAGACTCCAGCCACCAGGAGGCGGGCATGTGAGGAGGAAAACTTGTTCCCTGAGAGGGGAGACATAAAAAGATGCTTCGAATTTGAACAGTTTGATCATTTTCTCATGCTCCTCAGATTTGCAACATGCTTTTTGATATCCCTCACCACAGTTAGGGAAACAGACTTTAAGGCAGCACACAAAGGAGAGGGCCGTGATGTTTGTCAAGCTGCACAGGCCAAATAAAACTCCACACATGGCATAGAGCTGGCAGGTGATGTCTCCAAACAGCCACCTGAACACACAGACCAGGGGAATCAGGTGGAGATGAGCCTGGAGCTAACAGCAGGAAGATTTTTAATCTGCTTGGTTTTTCATTATTCAAAAAGGAGTAGGCTTGCTTTGATATGACGTTTTAATAAAGGACAATTAGCTGTTTATTAAGTAGTCTGATGCTGAGAAAGATAAAGAACTTACCTATGTGATAAAGCTGATGGAATTGCTAATGGAAACAAAGTGAGGGTCATCCCAAGGTCACTGATGGAGAGGTTGATGATGAAGAACTCTGCTGGTTTCAGACTGGATCTCTTGTGGTAGGCAACCAGCAGCAGGAGGCAGTTACCCACGAAGGACAGTATACCTGGAGAAGAGAACTTGAGCTGAGCAAGTGGTTCTAAAGATCATCACAGCTAGAAGCATGCGCACTCACAGAAGACGCTGTACAGGGAACCCATCATGATGTCGTGCTCTTTGGAGATGGTGGAGGCAAACATCGAGGATGTGTTTGAAGCATTTCCCATCTGAAATGTTTTCAAAAGCACACTTATGAGTTCATTGTGTCCAATAATTGCTTTCAGACCAAAAACAACCATTGGATCATCCGGTTGTCGGTCTGGCCGAATCGCTGCACTTCCCCGGGTCCTCCACACGTAACGCACTTGCATATTTAGCAACAGAACACCAGTGGTGTGAGAGGTTCTCTGCTCAATAATATCAGAGAAGGAGAAACAGCTGGTTGCTACCACTTCAATGTAAGGCCAAAATACCAGAGTCCCAAAAAGAAAAAAAAATACATCCTTCGAAGTCGCAGACAACAAAAGACGCTTGGACCTATGTTATGTCCTCTAATGGTGGAAAAAAGGAAGGACAGTGACTGGTGTTTAGCACTATCTCAATTTTTTCTGACTCGAGTGTCCTGTGACACGTTTGTGTTGAAAACCAAACTTGTTCTGTAAATTTGCTTAAGTGGTGCACATTAAGAAGAGTGGTTCCTTGCTGCGGGAAAGTGCATTGCTCAACAAAGCTGCTTTTTAAGGAAATAAACTATAAAGAACCACGAGTGACGAGACTTCTTTTAAAGTTAAAGTCCCATTAGTCATCATCACACACTGGTTAAATTCATCTCCGCATTTGACCCAACATCGTGGGGAGCGGTGAGCTGCAGCGAAGGCTGCACTTGGGAACTACAGTATTTGGTGGTTTAAACCCCAACCCAACCCCTTAAAAGCTGAGTGTCAAGCAGGGAGGGATTGGGTCCCATTACTAAAGTCTTGTGGGGATAACTCAACTAGGATTTGAACCCAGATCTCCCAGCCTCAGGGTGGACACTCTACCACTAGGCCACTAAGAAGGCTTTTAATACATACATGATATTAACACGTTTCTTATCCGTATGATTCCCAAAGAGTTGATGTTTCATAAATCTGGTTCTTGCAAAAATTCTAAATTTCTTTTGTAAGATGGAAAGTTAAACCTTTGAATGAGGGCCCAGGCCAGGATCACGAACAGGGGAGCAAGAGAATGGTTTTGCCTTAAAGAGTCGTTTAGAAAAGCCAAAGTAATTCTGTGCATCAACAGATCAGGCCAGTAGGTTACTGAGGGAATCTTAATGGTGTCCTGTCATGATCAGCTGAAGAATGTCTCTTTGTGTGAGTCATTCACCAATCCCAAAAGCTTCTCCCCATTGTGTTGTTTCACTAGATGTTGATTGTGATTAAAAGCATCACTTTGTTTGATAAGAGGAAAAGCAAGCAGGTTTAACTTGGGACAAAGAGGACAGAGCAGGAGACACATATTTTCTGTGATCTGTCAAGAATGATGTAAAGGCATCGTTGGCTTTCAAGGACTTAGAGCATCCTATTGGGTAAAGAACGAGACTTCATCATTATGCCTGACAGCAAACCTATCAGTGATGCCAGGTGGCCTGAACGGAGCAGAGTCAGTATTGTATGTATTTTCATTTTAGTCTTTATTTCAGAGATAATGAAAAGCCCACAGAGGGCACAGGAAGACAGCAAATGATGGATGTTAACTGAGCTTGCCCTTTTTAGTGCAATTTTAGTGTAGCGTTAAATCTGCATACTGGAATCACCTCCGTTGCTATGCAGGGGATTCCAAAAAATAACCAATCAGATTAACCTATGAAGCTTATATCATATATATAAATATCCCGGATACTTATATATCGATCTAAGTTTATACATCAACCTGTTTGATCTAATTTTAATCCAAAGATTAATGTTTAATTTAGATAATTAAATTTAATAGCAAAAGTTATTTTAAATCAGAAGCTAGGATCTTTTGCTTTCAAATAACCAGAAATACCAACCTTTTCTGTGTTTCGTTTCAATAATGAGGCAAATTTAAAAATGAAGAAATTTTATTACTAACAATTATAAACTGAGAAGATTTGAAATGACAATTATAAAATGACAATTCATGGATGGCAATTTTAATGACAATCTTTAACAGTTTTGATATTAAACTTGTCTAAAAGCAAACCTGTGACTGAATGGAGCTAAAATGAGAATGGTGAGTTTTGGATGTGTGAATGAAGTTCTCAGAAGGTTTTTTTCAGAGAGAATGAAAGCGTTCTGGGTGGAAATGATGTTTTGCGGATAACAGTTATTTTGAGAGATACAGCATCAAACGCATTCTCGTGTTCTACCTCACCCAAACAGCTGACCCTCTTGTGGATCCGGAGATCAGGAGGATGGTGATTCATCCAAGATGACACCCCGGCTGGTAGAGGAGACGCAAGTGTCCGATCGTCTGGTCCAGAGTTGTCCTGGGTACACGGTGTATGAAGCGTTTGGCAGACGAACGCTCTCGTCTTTAACTTAACTTCAGAAATCAACGACTCTGGTAGAGTCTTCGTCAGCTGGTTTACAGTTACGTTTACTCTTTGGATATTCTGGTCGGCGTGACTAGAACAGCAGGTGGAGGTTAGGAGACGGCCGTTCCCCTTTCCTCGTGGTGTTGGTTCAAGAACCGGACTTGAATCTGTGATGGGTAGTTTAACAAAAAGTTCTCAGGACCACTCCCACTCTCTCCGGAAGAAAGCTTGCTCATGCGTCAAAAACATGTGATGTAGTTATTGTTTATCTGAACTCTGTGTTAGCTGAATAGGGTGAACTTGACCTTGTTACTAAACACATCTTTAATCATTATAATAATTATTATTATTATACCCAAAGCATAATAATCCACTTCATGTAATTAAAATACCTTTATATTGAACCAAGTGATCATGTTATGATGATTATATTAAACAGCAATAAAATCAATGAGTTTATTAATTATTATCTAATTATTATCATCGTGACTAAGTGTCCTTCTTGGGACGGAACAGCAGATATGGTGTTATGATCTTGAGCAGACATCGTGGCTCCTTGGGTAATCTGTGGATTCAAAAAGTACTGTTTGACCCAGCTTGACCCAGCTGGGCAAATGTGACCTTTGCCACACATCAGAGAACCTTCATCACGCTACATTAGAATAAAATAGAATAGAATGATCAATTCCAAATGCAACAGGTGGAAATTATAGGCAATTAGCAAGTCATCCCCAATAAAGGAGTGGTTCTGCAGGTGGTGAACACAGACCAGTTCTCAGTTCCTCTGCTTTCTGGCTGATGTTTTGGTCACTTTTGAATGCTGCAGTGCTTTCACTCAAGTGGTAGCATGAGATGGAATCTATAACAAAGAGACAGGCCAGCACATCAGGAGACGTGGAAGAGGCTGTGGGATGGCAGCAACTCAGCAGTAGGAAGGAGGAGGACTGCCAGAGTCCTGCAGAATGACCTCCACCGGGCCACAAATGTGCATGTGTCTGCTCAAACGGTCAGAAACAGACTCCATGAGGGTGGTGTGAGGGCCAGACGCCAACAAGTGGGGGTTGTGCTTACAGCCCAACACTGGGATTGTCAAATTCTTCACTGGTGCCCTGTGCTCTTCATAAAATCCCCTGGAAGAATTACTGGCCTCACTTAACTCCTCTCATGCCAGGGTTTTGCCTTCCTGACCACCCGAGGCACATCCCACTTGGTCTGCTGCTGCTACCTTTCAGCGGTGTCTAGAGTTCCACAGGCCAAAAAGACCCACATGACAATACAGCCACTCAAAAGCACACCCAAAAATGAAACTTTAAAAAGTTTTAAAGTAAACTAATAACAAATAAATGATGAATACCGACCACCCTTTAGCCTCAGCTCCAGTCAGCCAACATGACAATGGAGGGCATGGAACCTGGCCCACTTGGACTCAATGTCCCCCACCTCCCCTGGGATGTGTTCAAACTTCTGTTGGAGGTGGGAATTAAAGCTCCTTCTGACAGGAGACTTCACCAGATGTTCCCAGCTGACCCTCACAAAAAGTTTGGGCCTGCTAGGTCCGAAAGGCATCTTCCACCATAATCTGAGCCAAATGACCACCAGTTGAAAGCTCTGCCCCTCTCTTTACCCGAGTGTCCAGACATGTGGGCACAGATCAGATGAGATGACAACAAAGTTGATCTTCGAGCTCTGGCCTAAGGTATCATGGTGGCAAGAGCACATATGGACACCTTCATGCCTGAACATGGTGTTCATTATGGACAATCCATGATGAGCACAGAAGTCAGATAACAAAACACTGCTCAGATTCAGATCAGGGGAGCCATTCCTCCCCATCCCTGCATGTTTCTCTCCTCCTGCTCCCTCACATCATCACACAAAAATGCACATAGGACCTTGGGGGGTGGGCAAGTCAGGGAGTGCGGGTATGGACCCCATTTCCGCATTCCTGTGGCAACCTGCCCCCCAATTTTATTTGCACCTTATACACTTCCACTGATGACATTCCACACAAACACACACTTAGGGCCTTGGGAGTGAGCACATTCAACAGCATTTGGCAGGGGGATATCTCAGCCTCCTCCCGGGTGCCGGTGCCCCCTTCCAATTTTAAACCGCACTTAGACACCGAGGGCTGAGGGTGTAAGTGAGGTGGTGCAGTGGCATCAGCTGGCATAGGCCGGATGATGCCCCCACTGCCCGCTCACCACAGCCATGGAATACACCTCATGATCACACAACACTATATTGGAGCAGGCGGAGGGAGACTAGGGGTCTTAGCACACCACTGTTGTCGCTTGGCTTCCTGGGGCTGGAGGCTAGGAGGGAGATCTGGCCGTCTGGTTGGGGTCTGGGGTGGTGGGTTGCTGTGCTCAGCATTGGGCGGGGGAGCCTGCTCATCAGCACCCCAGCAGAAAGGGTTGAACTCTGGTTACCGGTGATGGTTGTACCCAATGTGCAGCAGTACCGGGACCAGAGTTAATAGGGTGTGTATGGGGAGCATGAGTGGGTGTCCGGCGTGCATTTTTGTAAGTCTTGGGTTGTATGTGCATGTGTGAGCATGAGGGGGGGAATGTGTGACTGTGTTTGTGTATGACTGTATATGTCAGGTGGGGCCTTTGACTCCTCCCCTCTCCTGGATCTTCTTTTGATGATATAGATCTTCATCCCCACTCCCCCTGCCACATC